GGGGGGGGGGTAGGGCGAGAGGGGGGCTGCCTCGCACCTATTGGCTGATCGCCAAGCACCAGGTGAGACAATGAGAAGATCCCACAGTTACTGTCGCTCCATACACGCATGAGCATGGGCTGTGTCGAGACTCATTACATCACAGTACACTGCGAGTGTGTGTTGAACTTCTTTCGCACCTTACGTAGCCAGCCGCGCTAACCGGAGGTGCTGTGTTGGGCTGTATTATTGCTGGGTTGGTGTCGGTGTTGGCTGTAAGGTAGCTGTGTTACTGCCGTGTTGAGTGTTGGGGTGGGCTGTGCAAGGTACTGTGATGACTTCTGTCGCAAATGGCACCAAGAAGTGGACTAACAAAGGCTGCCAGCTGCTCTCAGCCGAAGAGAACCGAGCTCTCTTTGATGTCTTGGGACACAAGTGTGTGGTGAGTAGTGGACCGCATCTGCACGCACACACACACATCCCTTCAGGTAGCCTTGACACACTGTTGGGGAAAGTACTGTTAGCGAGCACCTATGAAGTCCGGTACTTAACACGAGGTACTAGGTGACCAGCACCACGCCCGACCGAATTTATCTCCCCAGTAGCGATGTTGACACACCGCACCAGGTACTCTATTTGAAGCCGAGTCGACCTAGGAGAGGCCCAGGACCGGTTCAGATAATCGCCACTGGTGTTGGCCGTGAGCGGGAATCGAACCCGGGTAGCCAGGTTCTTGGCGCAGCGTAGCGCTAATCGCGACTTTACCCCGTACCCCACTGGTCAACTACCACACTTCAGGCCACACCAACACTCGCTCACCATGCCCGAAGGTCACAACAAACTCAACTATTCACTCACTCACACAAGTCAATCACTCAATAACCCATCCACTCGCCTATCCACTCATTCACTCATAAAGTTACTACCTCAATTGCTCGCTCACTGACTCACCCATCCACTCACTACTACACTGTAGGTCACCTTATACTTTTTGGTTCTTTCGGTAAAGTCACGTAGTTAATAATAAAATAAAACAAATCACGACGTTTCGATCGCAACACAAGCGGTCGTCATAAGGCAAGTTGCAAAAAGTTGCCTGATGACGACCACTTGTGTTGCGATCGAACCGTGGTGATTTATTTTATTTTATTTCTACCTACGTGACTTTACGGAAAGAACCAAAGAGTATGGAATCCCGCAGTCACGAAAGCTTAAAATCAAGAGGTCACCTTATATTTGTAATCCCTCCCTCGAACTGTTCCACTCTGGAAATAAAGATATAGAATTCCCTACTACCATCATCGTCGTCTCGCCCCCCTCCCCACCAATCTCTTACACCAATACATAAATAACCCCGTTCAATTCTTGATACGTGTTAGACTCGCATCACTTCACAACTTGGATAATAGTGCCGTTTGTTCCTGGGAGCTTGACCATTTGGGCCTGTGCCACTCACTGCAGCGATGGAATGACACGTCACTTTACCTAGTTGAACAATCGTACAATAATACTGTACTTGTCAAACAGCTCATGCCACGTGGATGACGACTTAACATCACGCACTGCTATACTTTTAAACAAGATTTACATAATCTCATTTTCCGACATTCCTAGCATGCAAATCACTCTGTTAGCTGCCCGTGGGGCCGGGATATTTGCGAGAGCTGAGCACGGGACCAGTCATTAGCGTTCTGGTGATTATTGTGAGGAATATTTTACTTCGAAACTCGGACCCATGTCTAACAGGGAGGGTCCTTGCCCATGATAAACATCGAGCAGTGCGCCAGAGCATCGGTTCGAGCGAGTAAGTCTGCTGATGAGACCCTGAATGAGGCTGGAAATGTCCTCTTTCAAAAGGTCGTGTGGCTGATGTTTATGTGTAAAAACAAAACTCTAATTTTGTTGTGCTTGGTTATCGTATTACGTATATTCTCCACATCGACGCTCACAATTATATTGTGGTAATGCGCCACCGTGGTATTTCAACGCCGCTCGTGCTGAGAGAGACCAGGCCCCCACCATAGGAATATGGAATTTCCACCACAGGTTTAGGGCTGACAAAAACTAACTGTCCACCCCGCGGCTTGGGGCGTGGAGTCGCCTAGATCACTTGTGACACTCTGTGAATACTACAGTTTAAGTTGGGCTTTGAACACGAGTGCTTTATATGGCACTGCTGAGCCCATGAAAAACTAAACTATTTTATATTTTGCCAGGTAAATCCCACTGAGTTATATAGCTTTTTTTCCGAATCGACCTGGCCAGAAATGATGGCTCAACAACGTGGCTTATCATGTGGAAATTAATGTCAAGCCAAATACTCTAAATGCATGTTTCTAAATGCGGAGGGAAAAACCGGAGTGCCTGGGGGAAAAATCCACGCGACCACGGGGAGAGAGACACGCAGACTCAAATTATGCAGGCGCCAGGGTCGGGATCGAACACACGAACTCCTCCATACCGGGCGACGTGGTTAACATATCGCCATCATCCGTTCTGGAATGTAATCACGGTGTGAGGGAATGTGACTAATGCAAGCCTCGTTCTCTACACTTGGTCAGATGAAGCTGTCTCTCTGGCCAGATCATTGTGGAATGGGCCTGGTTTCTCCCAGTGGATCTGATCTAGTGATGTCAATTCCACATTGGTATGACAGTCGAAGCATTTATATCTGCAGAGTGACCTCTAGTGTTCCATAACAAATTAGATGAGCCGATAATGTCTCCTTCACAAATCCATCTGTCCAGGTTAAAATCATGAAGTATTACACAGACATATTCTATGGGAATTTCGGTAGAGCCATGTAGATAGAAAAATGATTTTAAAAAATATCACGACGTTTCCATCGCAACACAAGCAATCGCCTTCAGGTGAGAAGACGATTGCTTGATATGTTTATTATTTTTCTATCTACGTGGCTTTACCGAAAGACCCATAGAATATGTATTCCTGCAGTCACGAAAGCTTAAGTCAAGATATTACACAGACAACCCATCGACCTCCCGGGAGTGCACAATTTCAGCAGTTTACTATTTGTGAACTATTTGTCTTTTGTAAACGTGACACACTTTTTTTACTGTTTGGCCGTATCGGGTGGTGGAGGGTAATGACACAATTTCAGCAGCATTGATTCAGTCCAAGCAAACTCTGCTCGTTTTAAATCAATGCTGCTGAAATTATGAGCTGTGTAAAATATATATGTAAGAACCCATGAGTTGTGTAAAGAAAAACTTTCTTTTTATGGGGAGAGACATGTCTGTGGAGGAAGAGGAGGCGTATCGTCTCCTGGTCTGTTTTGTGAATTGCATTCTGCACAGGGACGCTCGTGGTTATCCTGAGTGGTGTGCTATGGAGTGCACCTAGCCTAGCACAAGCCTCGTGGTGACGTTACCGCCACTTCGTGGCGGATGGTAGCTAATATGTGGAGTTAGGGTCTGAAACAAATATCTAACATAATGGTCCGAAAACATCCGAAATCCGGAATTGTATAAATGCAAAAACTGGCCCCGAATGCCACTCGCTATCCACAGCAAACACATTCCAGCCTTCCTAAACCCACCAGTGCGATGAGGGCCTCCCCACGCCATAAATTCACCACGCTGGTCAGTACGGGTTTAACGTCTGGACGCCCGATTCGCAAATTCGAAGGAGGCATCATTTACAGCAGCATCACGGCGTCCCACTACCCGTGACGCAATCTCCTGTGGCTCGTCGGCAATCTCGATAGAAATCACAGCTGCTGCTCGATATCATCAGCCGTACGGAGAAGTGCGGGTTAATGAAGGGATGGAGGAGGGGTAGGAGGCGGGCACCAGTTCAAATATCTCTTGCCACCGATGTTAGCCGTAGCCGGAATCGAACTCGGGTCACAGCAGGCTCATCGCAGCACCCAGCTGCCCCCCACTCGCTGGGTGGTTGTTTTGAAGTGATGCTGTGCAGTGCTACGGTCATTTCCTCTTGTATCCCTATTGACAGTTCAGACTCTCGATGGGCTGTTACTGAGCTGTTTTGTGATTTACGCGGATGGGGAGAGAAGTGAAAACCTCTGGCAGCTGGCAACTGGAAACATGTGGCAGGAATTGATTTGTGCCGAGATCTGGTGACGTCATGTTCAGAGTTGTTGCTGTAAACCTCACGGCTCTAATAATTAACCGAGGCTGGGCTGATAGAGACGTCTTGGAGTGTGCCTCCAGTGTGGGCCGGTGGGGACTCGAGTCCCGGTCGAATCCTTGTGCTTGGAAGTGTTGTGTGAGCTCCTTTCGGTAAACGAGTGCGATGGAAAGTGCTATACTTTACGTGACATGGAGAAGTACCGTCACCCGAAACGTCATCCGTTGCATTTAAGGCCACGCTGTGTTGTGATTGACAAATGCTGTCGAGGTTTTGTTGTTAAGTGTACTTGTGTATCACTGCCAATCAGTGACGTAGTGACTACATAATATCATTATTAGCTCAGGTGGTGTGACAATCGGTCAGATGGGGCTCCAATATTTGATTTGTCTCTTACGGTCGCCAAATGTACTGCTCTAATTAAAATCAAAGGTGGAACGTAAATGAAAAGATTTGCATTAAAAAAGTTGTTATTTTACACTGAAAACAAATCTCATGGTGGTTGTCAAGGAGACCTCGACTCGTAGCTTTGGCCACCAGGGGAGGGGGGCAAGGCACCCCCTGCCCCCACGCTCGTTACGCGACCGCTGCCAACGCAGCAGCAGCATCACCAGACAGAATCTGTTCACTTTTGTCGAAGCCGATGATTTGGTGGTGAACGACGCTACCTCTTTGGTTAGCTCCCTCTGTGCTGTGAAGAAGGGGCATCGCCCGAAACGTCGCCAGTTGTAGACTTTTCCACGTCAGGCCACGCACTGTTGTTTGTAGGAGGAGGAGGAGGGGGGGGCTACGGAACTTGTATGTCCGGCTCCGGGAGCGCCCTCCACCCAGGGTGCAGAGACAGGCGTCACCGCATTCCGACTCGGTTCATCAGCATTCGCGTCGCCAGGGTGACATTCAACTCGCGATGCTCTCATCCATGATGGTCGAGATTAAATTATACAACGTAGACAAAATATATAATGGAATTGCCCCCGTCATGGAATGTGGCATTTCCTTCTCTGCCTCATTGTAGACCAACGGCAGATGAGACCCACTCCACAAGTCCCACGACTGCATCGGCCCTACTGCTTGGAGTTTTTTCCCTGCCTCCTTGAGCTTTTGTTCCGTACCTCGTTTTCTACTCGCATCCACTAGTGTCTCTCTCCGCATCCTCCTACCTGTCTCCCTCTACTCCTCATATTCTGCCGACACCGGTGGCATGTCCACAACTCCGGTAATCTCTGGGTCTTTGTTAGTCAGGGTTTCTGTGTGCATCTAAAGTGTCTGTGTGTGCAGCTATGGGTTTGTGTGTGCGTCTATTGGTGTATGTGTGTGTATCCATGGGTCTGTGTGTGGAGAGCGGTAGTGTAGCGGTTAGCGCGCTTAGATACGAACCCAGCGACCCGAGTTCAAATCCCACTCACAGCCAACACCCCCTAGGTCGACTCGGCCTCAAATGAGTACTTGTTGAGGTGTGTAAACATCACCACTAGGGAGACAAAGGCGGCCAGGCGTGGTGTGCCGTTCTGGCCTTTCATATGTGCTCGCTAGCAGCACTTGCCCCAGCAGTCTGTTATAGCTATACAGCGTGTGTCTTTTGTCTGTGTGTGAGTCTATGAATCTCAGTGTGAGTCTGTGGATCTCTGGGTAAGGGAATGGAGCTCTGTGTTATGGTCCGAGTCTCTGTGCGAGTCTGAGCCTATGGGTCTCTAATCTCCGACGGCTTTCTAATTGTTTTTTCTATGTTTCTTCTCAACACAGGCCCAAAACCATCCTAAATGAACTTGCCTTTCCAACTCAATTATTTTTGTAACCTCCCAATGCACCTCCTTTCCCGTAGACACATTCCCAACACCCCCTCGCCCTCATTCCCCAAATCCCCTAACCTAATATTACCAACATTTCCTAACGTCCTTGTCATGCTTCCATTGGCAGCATCTCCCAGCTCCATCGTCCCTAACCCAAGGGATGATGGGCGGAGTTCACCCTCGACCGAGACTTGAACCCGTGACCTTGCAATGGGAGAGTCGAGTGCTCTTCTACAGTCACTTAACAGAGTGGTGATGTTCATCATGTTCATCATGTTCATAATCACTACTCTGTTGAATGAGAAATCACGACGAATGCCATCAACGCGAACCGAACATTGGTCATCAATCTTCCAGTCTCCAGAGCAACAGCGCAAATCACACCAACGGCCATGTTTAAGGTCAGACAATGTGCCAGACAGGCCCCGGGACAAGGATCCTCCAATCGAACATTGAGGGATTCTCTCAGGCAAAGTGCGAGTATCTCGCGATCATAATAAACACACGTAACATTGATGTCCTGACACTCCAAGAAACCCACGTCTTGGATACCCTACATGCCAATCGCTCCCACATCCTTGGATACAACCTCAAAACGAGCCACTACCACCCGAAATATGGCTTGGCCATATACGTGAAGAACATCATCGCATAGTTATATGCCTTCCCACGAACTCAAAAAGAGGCCAGCTACACCACCATCATCAAGATAGGGGAGCTGCGTATCACCAATGTGTATAAAGCCCCTAATAAAAAATGGACAAAGCCAGGACTCCCAAGCACACTAATCCCAGCCCTCTACATTGGTGACTTTAACAACCGCCATACTATGTGGGGCTATGCAGGCGATCAGGCCGACGGTGAAGAACTCACCGACTGGATGTCCACTGAATATCTGCACCTGGTTTTGGATCCCAAGCAGCAATAAACTTTTCCACTCTGCCCGCTGGCAACGCGACTACAACCCGAAACTCACCATGATTACCAAAGGTCAAAGTGGGAGCACACTTCAAGCATCACGCAAAATACTTCTAAGCTTCCCCAAAGTCAACATAGGCCCATCATCACCCACATCAGCATTGAAATCCCCGTGATTCTGTCAAAACGATTACCAAAGTGGAACCTGGTCAAAGCTGACTAGGAACATGATAAGGAGGCTGTAGAGAGAGTGGTGAGTCGAATTCCCGCAACACCAGAATGCTGTCACCGTTTTGTTGACCTCTGTACTGCAGCCGCCAAGAAGAGCATCCCCCGAGGCTTCCTGAAAGAATCCACTCCCTGCTGGACAGAGACCCAGAACCTGCTCCGACAGTACAAAAAGTTGGACAGCCCACAGGTCGCAAAGCCCCTTGCTAGAGTCTTTAGACTTAGCCAGACGCCAATGGTGGATTGAGTGCATTGAAGGCCTGGACTTCACACACTCCAGCCACCATGTATGACCCCTACTACGACACCTGGGAGCTGCCAATCCAACAGAATACTGGACCGCAAGAGTCCTGCCCAACTCTATAGCCTCCAAAGTAGTAGAGAACACAATAGGACCACTTGACAAAAACCTCAAGCGAGAGATCCATTGTCAATTACACCCACCTATTCGCCACAATGCTGCAACCCTCCGGGAAGTCCTGTAAATAGAGGAAAATGGTTGACTACCTATTCACCAGGACCTCAATATTGTCCCTCATGATTGCTTGAAGTCACACAAATCCTTTTGGACCCATGTGCTTAACCTTCAACCGTGCGAGTTCAACCCCAATGAAGCTTGGAGAGCTGAATGGAGTTTAAAATAACTCACAAACACCTTGTGAAAGACCCAATGCAGAATATCCCTAGTTTTGACTTTCCACGAAGCTCATGGTTCACCCTAAACCGCATCCGCACAAACCATGGCAGGTGCGTGTACCTGATGCACAAATCATCATGGTCACCAGTGGCTCGACGGCAATAGCATCATCGCTATCGGACCGTGGCTGTGAGCATCTCGCTGTGGTGAGTGGAGCCGAACCTATGCCCTGTGTCTTGATCCCCCTCCCTCCCCTGCCCCACCCCGGCCCCCCCACAGACGCTGGCCTCGGCCGTGGTGCAGGTGTTTGCGGCGTGGCCAGGCGAGCGGAGCTGGAGGAAGCGCCATTGTGGCGTGGCGTGCGTCGTGCGCGACAGCACCGTGCGCTCACACTTCATCCGCATCTACAGCATCCAGGTCCGGTGGGGGGCACCCCCATGCACCCCCACGCACCCCCACGAACCTCCATGCTCCCCCACGCACCTCCACGTACCTCCATCCACCTCCATACATCCCTACGACACACACCTCCACCCTCCCTCACGCTTCCCCCCCCACGCACCCCCACGCACTCCCACACACCCCCACGCACTCCCACACACCCCCACATGAGCAATGTAGCGCAGCTGCTGTGCGTGCTTGTGGCGACGGTGCTCGTGTGCGATGACGGGGCTCATATCCCATGAAATTCGATTGCATTAACATGCCAATCCTCCTTTGGAGCATTTTTTACCCTGCCTACTTACCAGAGGTCGCAAACGAGTTTTGATTCCTTACCCGTACCCTACCCGAAATGAGGGACTCACGGCCTACCCGTACCCGTACCCGACCGTACCAGGGTCGCAAACGGGTACCCGTACCCGTACCCGGCTGGGTACGGGTAGCCGGGTATCGGGTAGGGTACGGGTATCGGGTACCCGGTTGCGACCTCTGCTACTTACCCTTGGGTGACACCCACTTCAAACCTATATATAGCCTCATGTTGCAAGAGCCCTTTCTTGTTCAGCAGTTCTACAGCTGTATCTTTCTACCTGATGACGATTGCTTGTGTTGCGATCGAAACGTCGTAATTTATAATTTATTTTTTCTACCTACGTAACTTTACCAAAAGAACCAAAGAGTATAATGTATAGTGTTGTTTATATTCTCCACAAAGAAGCTGTTGAATATTTAGAGGCACACATGGTACACAACACAACCGTACAGAGACATGCTCTGCTGCACTGCAGAAGTGTAGATAAGCTGATGGATAACATCACTGCGTGTGGAAAGGTCGGACTTGCGAACGTCTACAGCAAGTGACAGCTCCGCCGGCACCACCACGACCACGCAGGGATGCGGCGCTGTGTGTGGGCAGTTAATTGGTCTGGGAGGATGCATGACGGCGGGACGCGGTGACGTAGTCGTGAACCCGCCAGTGCATTCTCGTCTCAGGATCAGAAGACTCTGCTGGACCAGGAGCTCTACGCGGAGTTCACGTACCGCACCCTAAGGCCGTACTTCCACTGCTTCGTGGCAGACGTGAGTAGCACGCGGCGCACTCGGCCCTCGACCCGGTCCATCGCTCGCAGCAGCTCCTGCTCCAACAAGCTTAGTGGCACCAGTCTCGCCTACATGGCCCCCACACAGCCAGTGGTGGAAATTCCCCGTTCCTATGGTGGGGGGATGACAACAACGGTATTCCCCTGTCCACACGTGTGCACGTGTCCAGTCGGTGTGGTGAACACTTCAAAAACGCCCAGAAGCGTCCCGTACGTCAGGTCGCCTGCTTTAGCATAGACGCCATTGTAGCAGCTCGACTGACCAGTACGCCGCACTGGATGCTGCTGCTGCGGCCGCCGCCGCGTATGACGTGGGAGAGAGATTCCCAGACGGCTGCGGCCAGCGAATGCCGCTCAGCTGGGACGGTGCTGGTTGTGGGTGTGACGAGGTTCAGAATTAGGAATATTTATTTATATTGGAGTCATCCGATGAGCTATACATCTATTTTCACAGATGTCCAGTAGGGGCAAGTCAGAGCACTACAAAAACAAACGATACAAACACACGATAGGAGTGCAAAGTATAGGAAAGATAAAACAAATCACTTAAAAATATATACAAATAAAACTAAACTATGTTTTTTTCTTGCCAGGTAAGGCCCATTAAGCTATTAGCTTTTTATAAGAAGCGACCTGATCACAAAGTGGCTTATCAGGTGGAAATGTATTGCAGCTAAATAATCTAGATGCATGTTTATAAAGGTGGGGGTAAAAACCAGAGGACCCAGGGAAAAAAATCCACGTGACCAAGGGGAGAACACGAAAACTCCAAATATACAGCAGCAGGCGTCAGGGTTGGGATCGAACCTCCGACTTCCTGCATACCAGGTGAGGAAAATAACATCACGTCACCATTGCGCTGCAATGCAGTCAGTGGAGTGAGCGGTATAGCGAGGTATGTTGCTTGTCCAACAACAACAACAAGAAGCTGTTTCATCATCTGTTCTAGTCATTTCAAGTTTCTATCAGAAGGCAAAGATACAACACCTGCACAACGAGGCGAGCTTCGTGACGTCGATCTGACACCACATCGGCACTGTATTGCATCTCTAGCGAAGAGCGCACTCCTCGCGCCCGCACCCGGGCCCGATTGTCGTGACAGCGAGGGGCGCCACCTCCATCAATATATGAATCCCTTCTTTTTGCACCGAACAGAAGATTCCGTGCATTGCTGAACGCCGCATTCCATCGCCCACGCTGGCAGCAGCACAACACGGAGAGAATGCGAGGCATAAATCACTGCAGCCGCTAATCTGTGCCGAAGCTGTGGAGCAAAGTCGCTGGCTGCAGAGCTCAGCGTGATCCGAGGGGACACGTGAGCCTGCGTGCAGCCCACTGGATAATGCAGAGGGGCATAGGTGATTGTGGACGGTGCATCACAGAGACACCCACGTTCGATTGCTGGCTGCACTGCAAAAATGAAAGTTGTTGCGGTTTTTGATTTCTCAGAACATGTGCATCATCAGCAGTGTACCCATGGCAATGATGATAGTGGTTATATTGTGGTGGTGGTGACGGTATTGTAGTGATGGTATTGGTGCTCGTTAACACATTGCGCTAACCGCAACCTCCAGTCCCACCATAACCACGGTTATATGACCGTCACCATCTCCGTCATGAGCATCTCTGCCACCACCACTACCGTGACCACCAAAGACAAAGATTCCCCGTATAGCCTTTAACAGACTGTTAGTACAAGTGTCCTGTTAGCGAGCACCTATAAAGGCCGGGGTGGGTGGCCAACAACACGCCCAACCGACTTTGTCTTCCCAGTGCTGATGTTTACACAAAACTCCAGGTACTAATTTAGCCTGAGTTGACGTAGAGGAGGCCCAAGACCAGTTTAGATAATCGTCCCTGGTGTTGGCCTTGAGCTGGAATGGAACTCGTCGGGTTCTTAGCGCAGTGCGTTAGCCACTGCGTCTCCGCTTCCCGTGGAGTGGACTCACTCGATGGACAAACGCGCCGCCCGCTGATCGCTCGCTTGCCTGCAGTGCCATACGCATTGTGGCTGTGGCTTTGGGTGTTGCCCGGTCTCTGTCCCCGGGGCTTCAGCTGCGACACCGAGTCCCTCCGAACCTGCCTGACATGTCGCCCCCACCCTAACCCTAAACAAACAAAGGGGAGAATTTAGTCAGTCCGCATAGCGAGCAGCATTCCTGGCGTCATCGTCTTTACATCCATGGCAGTTCCGCCTCCACAACCAGCCCTCAACCAGCCCTCGCCGCTCCAGCATTGGCGTTCCATTCATTGTGCTCCCTCTGTTCCCTTAGCGTTTATGGTAACCGTCATCTGGATGATGACGGGCATGGTCAGGATAAGTACTAATCAGAATGACTGACTGACAATCACGAGATTGTGATGAGTTCAAGTTCCAGTGTAGGGTCAGCCCACAGTCCACAACTGGGTCACCCCCAGTGACACAGTTGTTACACGCCACTCTCTGAACCCGCCGACCAGAGTTCAATTCCCAGCAGCGGTTGACAGCAGTGGCTATAGGCAATATCTAAACTGGCTCTGGGCTCCATACTTCATAACCTCACTGCTGACGAGCGCAAAATACCACTATAAAGAAAGGCCATTGTCCAAAATGTCGCCTATAGTACATTTTTATTTTCAGGCCACGCGGTATTGCCAACCGCATTGAGCGTAGTTGTTCTGTATTTCTTCGCTGTATAGAGAAAGGGCCACCTTCAGGACTTTTAGCTGCGAAGTTCAGTGAGGAACAAAGACGCGTCCGCTAAAGCGGTCCCAATACACAGAAAGTGCCACCGCGTGAGATTTCCGAATGGATTCTTTATTCCGTGACACGAGCCCTGTCATAGCACCATTGGGGATAAACCGGGAGATGTAAAAAACAAACGACACTGAAAAACTAATCGGAGAGCTTCTACTTGCCGGCTCGTGCGAGTCGCAACTCTCGCCGTGGTGTTCCTGTGCTGCCGGACCACGACTCTGCCAGGCGCCAGTGCGGCGCGGTGGCTTTTGTGGCCACCGCTGCTGTGCCCACTCAATCCCTGCCGCACAACACCTTGCCAATCTCGCCAAGGAGCATAAACAATCGCACAAACTCTGGTCTTCCTCGCGGCCACTTTTAGCGAGCCATCGAACAAAGACGGTCACCGCATTGCTCGCTTTCAGATGTGCTTCTGCAGCTGTCTGAAACGCTCTTCCAATATTAGGGAGCCACTGGAGCTATGGACTTTTAAATCTGGATTGAAAACTCTTTTCTTTGTAACTGCTCATTGTGTTTAGTTTATTGTTCTTGCCCCACACCTCTGATTAGCACGGATTGGCTACGTATGGTACAAAAGAAGTTCAACATACATATATAGATGCTGCCACCACCATTCCTCCCCCTTTCACCTGTCTCTCTGTTTGTCACCAAACAGGAGTTTCAAGTCGGGCTCAACTTCTCGAGCGAGAAGGAGGCCCAGGCTTTTGGCAGTGCAATCTTGGAGAGAATCCAGCAACGGCAGAGTAAGCGTTACCCTTCCTCTGTCCACATCCCGGGCCTCTGTGTTCCCTGTGCATTTACGGTAATCGTCATTCAGATGAGTGGCAAGGTCAGGACACGTGCAGCCTGCTATTGACAGCCCACCCTCTCCCCACTCACCCACCCGCCCACTTGCTCACCCACCCACTCACTCACCCGCTCGCCCAATTAAAAATATTACGTTAATTGCACATTAAAACGACTAATACATTATATTTTCGGTTATTGACAATATAAGATATTTAAATGTTTGCTAATCAAGGGACACATAAAATCAACAGGTATTAAAACATTCATAATCAACGTTTTTGGGTTTAGATCGCGATTTAAACCCAAAAACGTTGATTATGAATAATATTGGTCGCGAAAGCCTACGTGTTAAACAGGTATTAAAACATGTTTGATTAACATATGTAAATAAGCTACATATAAATACAGAAAGTTGTCTGCCAGATGTATGCCGGACGCGTGTTTGTGTCGTGTCGCTCCGGCAGCGCGGGGGCCCGTGTTCTCTCCGAGCGAGGCTGCGGCGCCAAAGACACAGCGCGATGTGGAGACGCCTCCCAGCAGCGGCCAGCAGGGCTTCCCCTTCTCCCTGGGCAAGCTGTCCACGGCGACACTCGGCCGGTCAGCCAAGAAGACTGCTAAACCCAAGATCGACAAGCGCTTCATCAGCGGGCCCAGCAACTTCCAGTACGCTCCATGCATGCACGCACATACGCACGCATCCATACAGGCCCGGGTCGCGTTCGAAACGGCATGGGTTTACGTCATAGCAATAATTACACTATGTAACAAAAAAATACAAATGTTGTCCCCAGGTAGTAAGTGTTATTTTCGAATTGCTTATACCTCAAAAGTACAGAAAATGGCTTATTCCCCACAAACTTTGCTTTTGTGACCAGGACAGTGATACTTGGAAATTTACCTATTTTCAATGAGAATTCCAGATAAATTCAGTGCTGAGTAAACTTGGAGTAACTTCTAGAACATTCTAGAACTTTCCAGTAATATAAATCGTAGTATAAATACAGGGGCCTTGTGCTCACCAGTTCATACTCTTTGGTTTTTTCGGTAAAGTCACGTAGGTATAAAATAAATCACGACGTTTCGGGCACAACACAAGCGTGTGTCATCAGGTGGGAAAGCATGATCTGCTGCTGGGGCAGACTGTTGTAAAAGGTTTGAAATGGGTGTAGCACAAGGGTCATAAAGAAGTGGGCGGGGCTAGTGATGTTAATGTGAGAACTTAGCATGTAACTGTAAGATAGGAGAGCGGCCTCCTCGACGAGGGCACGGAAGTGGCTATGTTAATGTGAGGGATTAGCATGTTAATGTAAGAACGAAGAGTGGTGCAATCCAAAGGACATGTGAGCATGAGAGTGCAATCCCAAGGCATGAGAGCGCAATCCAAAGGACATGTGATACATATCTGCATTTTTATGAGATGGCATCAAGAGGCTGCAAGCATCCGGCAGACGCATTTTGCTATGTCTGCGGCCAATTTATCAAGACAAGAGCGAAAAAGTACTCTGTGGAAGCATCTGCTAAGATGTGTGAGGCCTGCAAGGCATATTTCGGCATGCCTGTTGGGGATCAAGACAAACCCTGGGCACCTCATTTCACCTGCGAGCAATGCAAAACAACTCTGGAAGGTAAGATGGACAATTGTTGCTCGGAATTTTATGTCATAAAATTTGTTTACATTTTTAATATTCTAAAAGTTTTAATTTTAAAATGTTTTACAATTTTCAATGTCATTGAAAAAATATATCATATTTAAAAAATGTTGCGAGAATCTCTTGCACATTAGTCATATATAAATGTATTTTTGTAGGATGGTACAGAGGGGAAAAGAGAGCCATGAAGTTCGCTATCCCAAGAATTTGGCAGGAACCCACTGACCACTCAAACAATTGCTACTTCTGCATGGTGGATCCTTCCAAACGTCGGACTGGCAAGAATGCACCTGCTATCACGTATCCGGACCTTCCTTCATCCATCGCCCCGGTGTCACACTGCCATGAGCTCCCCGTACCCACTCCTCCGGAGCGAGAGCAGTCGTCTTTAGAAGAGCAGCAAGTCGGAGAGCGAGGAAGACGTTGTAGATCCAGATGACAATGTCAGAGGTGGAGCTGAGGAGAGAAGAAACCCATACTACCCCAACCAAAAAGACCCCAACGACTTGATAGAGATCTTGGTCTCACCAAGTCCAATGCCGAGCTTTTGACGTCTAGGCTCAAGCAGTGGAACTTGTTGGATGCAAGTGTACAAGTCACAGATCAGAGGAAGCGTCACCAACCTTTTTGCAGCTTCTTCACCCGTCAAGATGGGCTCTGCTTCTGCCACAATGTGATCAGTCTGTTCGAGGCAATCGGAATCGCCTATAACCAGAATGAGTGGCGTCTCTTCATTGACAGCTCATCCAGGAGCCTCAAAGCCGTGCTGCTCCGTAATGGTAACAAGTACCAGTCTCTTCCCCTGGCTAATTCGGTGCACCTCAAGGAAGATCACAACAGCATCAAGACCTTGCTGGACGCCTTGAAGTATGATGAGTATGGCTGGGAGGTCATTCGAGACTTCAAAATTGTGGCATTCCTGATGGGTCTCTAAGGTGGTTTTTCCAAGTTTCCCTGCTAGTTTTGCCTTTGGGACCAGTAGGGACACCAAGGCGCACTACCACAGGTGGGACTGGCCACAGTGGACCGAGTTCTCTGTGGGGAGAAACAACATCAAGTGGGAGCCACTGGTGGACCCCCGGAAGGTGCTGATGCAAACCACTGCACATCAAATTGTGCCTTATGAAACAATTTGTCAGAGCTGTAGATAAGGAGTCAACAGCCTTCAAGTACCTTCAAGACTTCTTCCCTAAGCTGTCTGAGGCAAAGGTCAAAGCTGGTGTCTTTTTCGGACCACAGATAAAGAAGATCCTGGAGTGCAATTAATTTTCCAAGAAGCTCACTAGTAAGGAGAAAGCGGCTTGGAACAGCTTTGTCGCAGTGATTCGGGGCTTCCTGGGCAATCACAAGGCCGAAAACTTTGTGGAGTTGGTTGAGACTCTGGTGAAGAACTATGGCACAAAGGGCTGTAGGATGTCCCTGAAAGTCCATATCCTTGATGCTCATCTTTATAAATTTAAGGAGAACATGGGAGCGTACTCAGAGGAGCAGGGCGAGTGCTTCCACCAGGATATACTGGACTTTGAATGCCGCTACCAAGGACAGTATAACGAGAACATGATGGAAGACTATGTTTGGGGGCTGATTCGTGAAAGTGATTTACAGTATAATCGTAAATCTCGAAACACTACTCACTTCTAAATCTTTTTTAGTAATTTTTGTATTACTTTAGTATAAATACACGTTAATTTTGAGTCATGTTTTTTTCTGACTTTACGTCAATGAAAAGACATAAATACGTCCGTTTTCTCATTTAAAATAGGTAAAATTCAAAATATGACTGTCCTGGTCACAAAAGCAAAGTTTGTGGGGAATAATAGCCATTTTCTATACTTTTTAGGCATAAGCAATTAAAAAATAACACTTACTATCCAGAGACAAAAATTGTGTTACATCGTGTTATTATTATTTATACGTGTATCCAGGAGAGAAATGCGCCAAGCCTGCTTCTCCCCTGCTCCGCCTGTGGATTTGCCACTGTGTGTCCCAAAAATAATGTATTATATTCGATGGCGTGCAGTGATAGGGGTGTGCGCTGCTCCCAGCCATGGCTAACATCAGTGGCAAGTGATATCTTAATTGCCATCCCCCCAACAACTTCACCCATTAATAACCAGTGTGGTGAAGTATGGTCAAGCGACCCCCGTGTGACCCATGCGATGTGAGGAGGCATCCTTTAATCCAGCCCTGGGTTGACAATTTGTCGTTGATTCCTGTTTCCATTGCAGTTACATTTTAGATCAATATATAAACCATTTTAAATACAAGCATTGCATCCAACACCATGAGTGTTTCAAATGCATCGATACATTTGGGAGATGAGTGGTTTTGTAGCAACTCACTTGCATCTATCTATTTGTTATCATGCAAAGTGACAATTGGCAGTGATAATGCGGGTGCCACATTGATTCCGTGTTTGTGTGCGTTTAGCTGCGCTACTAACCCTTATGTGCTATTTCGTCCTTCGTAGGTGTTACTTGCTAACAGCACTTGCCCCAACGGTCTGTTAAGGCTATAGGGGAGATATTTGTCTTTTGCCTTGTGTTTTTTTGAATTCTTTCGTCTTTGTGGTTTGCACGGTGCTTTGAGATGCCACTGCACTGAAAGTGCAAAATAAATAGGGATGAGAACCCCCGTGTGTTTGTTGACGCAAGGCATCATTGCTGGCGTCAAGACTCGGCAAACACGCAGATCTCCCCTGCACATCCCTCGGGGCCTATCACTTGCTCCTGTAATAATTTGAGATGCTCTCAAACTCGCCCATGGCGAGCTAGCTGAAACTATCACAGTTGGCCCGTTGCTAATCATCTGTGCTGTGTACCACGTAACTCATTTAATTTGGCTGCGTCAAGTGGTGGAGGGTTCTTGACAACAAAAATTTGGCTGGTTCATTACGTCAATCGAATATCTTGATGAGCAATGATTTGTGTTTTTATTGAATGCAAATTCAACCCGGTTGAAGCCTGGAGAGCTGAGTGGAGTTTGTGAAAGACCCAACGCCAAACCACATCCACTGCACAAACCACGCCAGATGTGGATACCTGATGCACAAATGGAAAATTAAAAACTGTCCAGTGTGTGACTGTGGTCACGAGAAAGGACGGTACAACATATAATGACGTATTGCCCTATTCACAAATATGAAGGTGACACAGAAATACACTCCACTGATCCTGACGCACTGTCTGGTTTGGGCACTTGAATGTGAGATTGTATTTCTTGTTGTGCATCTACATCGGCCGTATGAAAGAAGAAGATTGCGCATTTGGCAGCATTTCCCATGAAACAAGGCCCCTAATGTGTTGTCGTGTGTTCCTGGGATTGCAGTGGCTGTATTTTTTTCGTTCAGCTAACTCTGTTTTTTTTCGTTATTGACAGACACCTTAAACACGTCGGCTATAATCCACAAACTTCCTTTGACGTGAGTACAGTGCAACGGGCCCGCACTCACTCCGGCTCCTGTTTGGTTGTTTCTGCTGTGATTTTTATTTGGTTGTCTCCGCTCTGCTTCCTGTTCAGTTCATTGCTGTACATTTGCTTTTGTGCTATGGCTTTTGTCATTTTAATGGCACAGAGGTCACTTGTAGATGAGATGTCCCTGGTCGAACCCCTGGTTGAACAAAACAACCCTGAGACTGGAACCTTTCATGTGCAGCGAGTGGGTAGCGTGAGACTCTACTCATCCCTGTTGGTAGCCCTGAGCAATTTTGTGGAAATTCCACATTTCCATGGCAGGAGTCGGATACTACTAATGCTGGAAATGCCATTGGATGTGTTCACTACTGTGTGCCTCACATTATCCCTGTGTTTAAACGAGTGCAGAACATAGACCCAGAGCTCAAGAGGATGTTCCAGTCGGTGGGGATCACGGAGAAAGACCTGAAAAGCCGATCTACCTCCCAGGGCATCTACGACATCATTGAGAAGCATGGAGTGGAGGCTGTCAAGGATGAGCTGAGGCAGAAGAGTGAGTAGGTGGATGGGTGGGTGGATGAGTGAATGTGTAAATGAGTCGGTGAGTGGATGGGTGAATGAGCAGGTGAGTGGGTAAGTGGGTGGACAAGTAGGTGAATGAGTGACTGGATGGGTCGGTGGATGAGCGGTTAGGTAGGAAAGTGTGTAAATAAGTGGATGGGTGGGTGTGTGTGAAAATGAGTGGGTTGGTGAATGACTGGATGGGTACGTGAATCGAGTTCGATTCCCACTCAAGACTAATAACAGTGGCAAATATTTTAACTAGTCCTGGGCCTCGCCCTGTGTTGCCTAAAATGAGAACCTCGTACCGTGTTTAAACAGCACTGGGGAGACAAAGGTGGCCAGGCATGGTGCTAGCCACCCACCCCCTTGTGCACCGCTTTCACAGGTGTTCGCTACCAGCACTTGCCCCTGTTAAGGCTCTACGGGGGGTCTTTGTTTTTCTGCCCGCGTGTGGTTTATCCACCCTGCTCACAATGCCATCTAGAATTATTTATTAATGGGTGACACCTTTATGGTTTAACACGAAGGCTTTCGCGACCAATATCATCCATAATAGAGTTTTTTTTGGGTTAGATTGCGTAAATATATAAATGTGTCGTTAAAACCCGCCACCACCCGACACAGCCAACTAGTAAGGGTTGTCACGTAAACAGAACGTGCCAATTCGTCACTAGTGTAATAAAAGGACTCAGACACTTTTTTCTGTCTTCGTGTCTTTTATTGGGTTCTTGTCTTCTCCCACACGGCACTCCGTTATAACTCTGTATTTGTAGCCCCCGGCTGTTCACCGCTATTATAGCTTCCTTTCTCTTTCCGCAGACTCTCTGCTTCGTCTCCCGTAACCACCGTTCTCTCCCTGCAGACTCGCTGCTACCCCTATGTAGACTCCGCTGCTACCCCTATGTGCAGACCCTCTGGCTGCTACCGTATGCAGACCCGCTGCCGACTCTGTGTACAGCCCCGCTGCCGACTCTCTGTGCAGCCCCGCTGCTGACTGCAGCCTCCCCGCTGCTTCAGGTCGGTCACCGCTGGCCAACGGTGCCGATCCTCGCTCCCCCGTGTTCGTGGCGATCTCGCCACCCTCCGCTTCGCCCTTCGTGGCCTCTCTCTGTTCCTGGTTCCCCGTCTCTCCCTCTCCTCTTCCGGTTCCCCTCCTTCTATAGCCTAACCCCTCACCCCCCCCACGTGACCTAACTCCTCCCCTCCTGACGTCACCTCCGGAGGGCCGTTTACGCCCGCATTACATCACCCTCCCCCATAAAGAAAATCCAGCCGACCTCGGCTGAAGTGCAACCTGACAAGAAATGCGGGTGTAAAGGGCCAACACGTAAAAAGACACGAAGCCTGCAACAACAATATAACCAGAACACAACACAATACAATTTTAACGAAACGTGAGGGATTTCGAGCGAGTACGGGTAGCCGGGCCGTCCCGAACGGTCGGCAGCCCACCCGCCGAGCGGGAACGTGGAAGGGTTTTAGGGGCGACGGGAACGAGTTCGTCCGTCGCCATTGGAGGCCCGCCACTGTCCCGGTCGCGTCCAGAGACATCCCGTACTCGCGTCCGCGGAGGGATAGGAAGAGCTGCAGGTCCCGTGGGTTCTGCGGCTCCGGTCGTCATCCCACGAGCGGAACGTCCTCCTCCCTGCGCTGTCACGGCCGGCTTGTCTGTGAAGGGTACGACAGGCGCTCTCGCAAGGTCAGCAGACACAGGCAAGGGCGAGTCGGCAGCAACAGACCCCGGCAAGGCAACTTCGGGAGATGACGCATCCGGCCGCGGGGCAATGTATGGCTTCAACCGGGATGTATGCACGAACCAGCGCCGCGAACCAACCTGAACACGCGCCGACTGTGGGTTGGGAACCTCAATGAGGCGGACCGGACCTTGCCACGGTTTGTGTAATTTAGGAGAGGTACCTGGCCGCACCTGTGGGCAATGAAGCCAGGCCAGGTCCCCCTTCTTCCAGGGGCACTCCCCCTTCGAACGTCGGGCACACCGCTCATTCCTGGCCTGAGCTTTGGCTGTAGCCATGCGGGCTCTTTCCCTCGCCTCAGTGACACGGCGAACGTTGTCCTGAATATACTCAGGAAGAGGCCTAACAGGTCCCCTCGCACCGGTTCCCAACTGCTCATTAATCGGCGGCACATTCTCACGGCCGTACATAAGGAAGAACGGCGAGTATCCAGTAGCCGCGTGTGGCGTCATGCGATACGCCGAAAGCACCCCAGGGATATGCAAATCCCAATCAGATTGATTTTCCCCGACTGTATGGCACAGCATGGCGGACAGAGTCCGATTCAACCGTTCCACCATCCCATCCGTTTGTGGGTGGTAGGGGGACGTCCGTATCTTTTTAGTTCCAAGAGCCGCACACACCTCCCCCAACAATTTGGACGAAAAGTTACGCCCCTGATCTGTAAGGAGCCTCTCCGGCGCCCCCTTGTCCATTACATACCCAAATAGAAAGGCGTCAGTGATAGACGCCGCTGACTGGTCAGGCAAAGGCCAGGCCATCGGCCAGCGAGAGAGGTACTCCACCCCCACCAGTAAATACTTATTTCCCTTAGCGGATGGCGGAAAGGGTCCCAAGATATCTAACGCCACCAGCTCATTAACCCGAGATACTTGAATCGATTGTATCGGCGGAACATATGGATGTTTAGGCGGTTTACGGCGGGCACAATCGGGACACGCGCGAACGTGACCGACGACATCCGTCGTCATGCCGTGCCAATAATAGTCTCGTTGCAGCGTCAACAGGGTTTTCTGCACCCCCAGATGTAAAAGTGTGTCACAGTGCAACGATCTAATCAACTCGTACCGCAATGACGCAGGCACAACGAGACGCCAGTGTTCCTGTATCCCTTCCCTCCACATCAGTAACCCATCTCGGAGAGCAGTTTCCGAAATACCACCCGCACCGAGTTCCTTACCCGCCTTCTCCGTTCGTTTTCGTAACGACACCAAAGAATCGTCCAACATTTGCTCCCGAATCCACACAGACCTCGGAAGACGCAAAATCCCGTCCGCCGGTCCCCCGTCAACCGGTCCCGGTGTAAGCGGAGTTTCGAGAACATCCACCGCCAGCGCGACAGGCTGAGGGGGGAGCTGAGTCGGTCCACACCTATGCGTCCCCGACGCACACGCACAAGGGGATTGTTGCGGAAACCTGGACAGTGCGTCCGCGTTAGCGTGACGCACACCCTTCCGATGGTGAATTTGGAAGGAAAACTCCTGCAACGTGTCCAGCCATCTCGCCAATTGTCCGGATGGCTGGTCCATCTTAAGAGCGTATTGCAAGGCCGCATGGTCCGTGCGGACAATAAACGACCGACCGTACAGATACGGTCGAAATTGCCGGAGAAAAAACACAATAGCCAAAAGTTCCCTGCGAGTGACGCAGTAACGGGTTTCCGCGGGAGACAAAACTCGACTCCCATACGCCACCACACGCTCAACACCACCTTTTGACTGGGACAACACCGCCCCAATACCAGTGTCACTCGCATCAGTATCCAAAATGAAGGGATGTTCAAAATCCGGATAATCCAACGTCGGTGCAGTAGCCAGTAAATCGCGCAGGCTCCGAAACGCCGCCTCCTCCGGCGGTCCCCACACAAATTTATGCCCCATCCCAGTAAGGAGATGCAAAGGCCTGGCGATAGTAGCGAAATTCGGAATGAACCTCCGATAATATGAGGCGAACCCCAAAAACCGACGCACATCACCCACCGTGGTCGGGGTTGCCCAATCCCGGACACACGCAGTTTTCTCTGGATCCGTGGCCACTCCGTCCGCACTAACAATATGTCCCAAGTACCGAACGGAGCGTTGCAGTAGATGACATTTCTTAGGCTTGAATTTCAAATTAGCAGAACGCATTCTGGCAAATACAGCCTCCAACCGCAGTAAATGCTCATCAAATGTGCGGCTGAAGACAATAATATCATCTAAATAAATGAGACATGTCTCCCACTGCAACCCCGTCAATACCAACTCCATCAATCTCTGAAAAGTGGCAGGGGCTGCATTCAACCCCATCGGCAGACAATTAAATTGGAATAACCCCTGCGGTGTACGGAAAGCTGTTTTTTCCCGCAAGGGCTCGTCAAGGGGGAGCTGCCAGAAGCCCGAAGAGAGATCAAGCGTTGAAAAAAACTTAGCCCCTGACAAGGCGTCGAGAGAATCGTCCATACGCGGCAGGGGATACGCATCTGCCACCGACACTTTATTCAACTTCCGAAAATCCACACAAAATCGCAATTTACCATCCTTTTTTTTAACCAACACAACAGGCGCGCCCCACGGGCTATTAGACGGAGATATAATATCCGCCTTCAACATGTCTTCCACTGCCCCTCGAACATGCTCACGCTCAGCCGGACTCATCCGACGCGAGTTCAAGCGGATAGGGGCAGCGTCCCCCGTGTCGATATGATGAGAGAGCAGCGAGGTGCGTCCCAAGTCCAAATCGTCCGAGCTAAACACATCGGAATAGCTCGATAATAATTTATGCATTGCACAACGCTGCTCGGCGGAAAGGGCCGAATTTTCCCCACATAATTCGGCGATCCAACGATCATCCACCCCTCCATCGTGTGAAACACCACCCACCAGCCCCCCGTCCGGCAGGTCACTCTGAGCCGTAAACGCCGTAGTGGCGTGTGCCACAACGGTACCAGCCGGCACACACACACTTTCAGTACTCGCATTTAACACCTGCAAAAACGGGCGCTGATCTGGACGGACAATAGTTTGCGCCCCCACCAGTGCCAGTCCGCCCGTAACAGCGGCGGACGGCGACAGCAAAATCCCAAAAGCACCCTGCCGACCCGGAACCGGCTTCCGGTATCGTAAGGGAATGAGCATCTGCGAGCCAGGTGGAATATCAACCGAAACTTCCGATAACGCCTGCACCTGGGCAACCGGAGCCGGTCGCCCCCAGGCGGACTGTAAAAACGCCAATTTCCGGCCCCCTGGTAGTTCAATGCAATTTTCATTGATTCTAATTAGAATGGGCATCTTAGCCAAAAAATCCGTACCCAACAGGCAAGGAACCGCCAGGGACCTTGAAATTAACACAACGCCCGAGGCCGAGACACCCCCGATAGAAATGTTAGCGTCCACCTGTCCCACGATGCCCATACTACCCCCGTTCGCAGCGATGCAGGAAGCGTAAGCCGGCCTCACGGCCCCCGGTGGGATGTTCAAAAGATGGAATATCACATCCGAAATAATGGTCGCGGACGCCCCGGAATCCACCAAGATACGTACGTCCACCCCTTGAATCGACCCCGGTACAGTGGACGACCCGGTAGCGGCCGCGACAACCCGCCGAGCCAGCTTACGCCACTGCGTTATCGAACGACAAGGCGCAGATACTGGCCTCCCGTATTTTACAACATCCGCGTCGCATACCAACGGCGATGAGTGAGGTGTCGGGCCTTGCCGGGTGTCTGGTGCGCACCGACTTGCCTGTGCCGGAGGGTCTTTCTTTGGGGCGTCCGCTGTCGAGGCCTCCTGCTGGGGCGGCCCCGGAACCCGGGCCCAGCAGTCCCTGGCATAGTGGCCCCGACGGCCGCAGCGGAAGCAGTCGACGTCGGGGCGGCGCGCAGCGGGCACCCCGTCCCGACGCGGCCGCACCGGCGGCGGAGCCCGCGGCCCCGGCCCGCTCCGGGCCGGCCACGGAGCAGAGGCAGCCGACAACTCCTTCTGGCCGGTCGCATCCGGCACGTACACGGCCTTTGTAGGGTCCCACCCTACGGCCCCCCCATCGACGACAGGACCGCCCGTCCACGCCGTCACCTGTTTCCAGCGGCGGAGATTGAACTGGGCGTCCAAACACTTGGCCGCGGCCCGGGACGTGAGTTTTTCGTGACCGCACGCCGGCATAGGAATGCCAAGATCTCGGGACAACTCCAACATCTTCCCCAAGATGAGTGGTTCCAGCAGGTCAGGCTCCGTCTCCGGGTAAGCGGCCATAGCGAGTTCCAACACGGCGCCCCTGTACGCTACAGGTGACTCCTCAGGTGCGCGTTGCCGCTGCACGAATCGGCGATGGGCGTCATCCGGTGGCTCGTACGCGTCCGCCATTTCATCGAACACCCCTCGCAGAGTTTTCTTCTTTGCAGCTTTTATAGAGCGAAAAAAACGAACGGACTCATCATCAAGAAGAGTCGGGAGCACCTCCAGTGCCTCAGCGTCCGTCCACCTTGCCGTACGTACTGCCGCCAAAAATCTACAGGCGAACGCACTCCAATCGCCCCCGATGGAGAACTCTTTGACGGTTGTAAGGTGATGACTGCGACTCCTTGGCTTGCTTCCGTCCGTCGCTGACTCTTCCGGCGGTAAGTTCAGCAAGGCGTCGCAACGCTGTGTCGCCAAGATGGCGGACGATCCTCGCGGCGGCCCCAAAATGGCGGCTTCCCGCCTTCCGTGGTGCGCCACGCCCAAGATGGCGTCTTCACGCCGCGTGGCCGATGGCGGCGCCATCGAAGACGACCCGGTCTCCTGCCGATCACCACCATCACCTTCCAACGCCGCCCTTGGCGTGACAAGGTCACACAACTCTGTGATGACGGTTTTTAGGGTTGCCAGTTGCTCCGCCATCCGGGTCCATCTTAAATCTTCGTCCCTCAACGCAGATGGGTTGGACGAAGCGGCAACCTCCTCGACACCCGGGCCCTCACGGATCTCTCTCTCCGCCGAAGTGAAGCCGACCTCAGGAGGAAGATCGTCGTCGTCCGAAGATGAAGCCGACGCCGGGGATGGAATATTCTTTTTCCTCAGTTGTTTCGCCATGCCGTTTCACTTCTGACTCCAGTGTAATAAAAGGACTCAGACACTTCTTTCTGTCTTCGTGTCTTTTATTGGGTTCTTGTCTTCTCCCACACGGCACTCCGTTATAACTCTGTATTTGTAGCCCCCGGCTGTTCACCGCTATTATAGCTTCCTTTCTCTTTCCGCAGACTCTCTGCTTCGTCTCCCGTAACCACCGTTCTCTCCCTGCAGACTCGCTGCTACCCCTATGTAGACTCCGCTGCTACCCCTATGTGCAGACCCTCTGGCTGCTACCGTATGCAGACCCGCTGCCGACTCTGTGTACAGCCCCGCTGCCGACTCTCTGTGCAGCCCCGCTGCTGACTGCAGCCTCCCCGCTGCTTCAGGTCGGTCACCGCTGGCCAACGGTGCCGATCCTCGCTCCCCCGTGTTCGTGGCGATCTCGCCACCCTCCGCTTCGCCCTTCGTGGCCTCTCTCTGTTCCTGGTTCCCCGTCTCTCCCTCTCCTCTTCCGGTTCCCCTCCTTCTATAGCCTAACCCCTCACCCCCCCACGTGACCTAACTCCTCCCCTCCTGACGTCACCTCCGGAGGGCCGTTTACGCCCGCATTACACTAGTACAGCACACCGGTGTGTTGGAGAGCCAAGCCACAACATTTACAATCTGACTGACGTTTCGCCAGTAGTTACAACTGGCTTCATCAGGCGACAGCCAGATTTGTGGAGAAGTCTGTTTCTTTCCTTATATAGAGGCGTAGATGTGGTGACCACACTTTTGCACTCTTGCGCAAAGTGTGGTTACAAAACGGTTATCAACATCACTAACTCTAGATTTTAGGCTTCGCTACCAGCACATCACTAACGTTTAACATCCATCCAGTTCACCATGGAAGTGGAAGCTGACAGAACTCTTCCATTTCTGGATATTCTGCTCGGACGGGGTCGAAATGGTCAAATAAAACACAGTGTTTACCGAAAGAAAATGCATACTGACGCCTATCTGAATGCAGAGTCGCACCATCACCCCGCACAGAAATCTGCTCTCATCAAGACGCTCATTCATCGAGCTAAGAAAGTGTCAGATGGTGACAGTCTCAGAAGTGAAATCCAACATGTTACAGAAGCGCTGCAAATGAATGGTTACAATGATGCACAAATCAACAGGGCATTGAATGCCAAAACCAAATCAAATAACATGAGCATTGAAACTTCCCAAGTAATTAAAACGATCAAAATACCATACATTGCAGGAGTCACTAATAAACTAGCCAGATGTTTAAAAAACAAAACATCCGATTCAGATTTGGCACATACATAAACTACAGAAGGTGTATACAGGAATAACTGCACATTTGGTAATGTTATGTTGGGCAAACAGGACGAATGATCAGCACGAGACTAAAAGAACATCAGATAAATATTAAATACTCCCAAATACAACTGTCAGCAGTAGCAGAACGTGCGTGCAAACAAGGACACTCAATTGATTTTGATAATATTGAAGTTCTGTGCAAAAACTAGCTGCTACTGGCCAAGACTAATTAGAGAATATTTCGAAATTTTAAGAAATAAAAATAATTTTAACCATTCGGATAGCTACCACCTTAGTGCTGCGTGGAAGCGAATAATCATATAATACATTGTTTAAATGCATGCCTACAAAGGGCACCATACTTCAATAGGGATTACCATTGGTATGGCTATTTTAACACACACAATAGACAGGAAGGACAAGATCAAAGGGCACCCATAATGCACATGCATAATGTACGTTGACTCATTAATCCCCCCCCACTTTGCGCAAGAGCGCAGAAGCGTGGTTACCACATCTACGCCTCTATATAAGGAACGAAACAGTTAGACTTCTCCACAAATCTGTCTGTCGCCTGATGAAGCCAGTTGTAATTACTGGCGAAATGTCGTACTCGTATTGTAAATGTTGTGGCTTGGCTCTCCAACACACATTGGCATGTTTTGTTTACGTGACAACCCTTACTAGTTGGCTGTCGGGTGGTGGCGAGTTTAACGACACATTTATATATTTACGCGATCTAACCCAAAAAACCTCTTATGCACCTTTATGGTGTTGGATCCAAGGGACTGATGCTCTGAGCAGTGACTGCCCCTTCCGACTGGTGAACCCGCATTCAACTTGCGAATTCCCTGTATGGGTAAGGAACCCAGGGGTGCCGCCGCAGCAGTGATGAGATGTTATCTCCCTCGCCGGGTATGCAGGAGGACGTGAGTTTGAGCCTGACCTCCTGACGCCTGTATTTCATGGTCTCTCTCGCCGTGGTCGCGTGAAATTTTCTCCGAGTCCTCCAGTTTTCCCCTCTGCATTTAGAAACGTGTTTAGTCTATTTGTCTGCTGTAAATTTCCACATGATAAGCCACTTCGTTGAGCTATTTGTGTCCAGGTCGTTTCTGAAAGAGTGAATAACTCAGTGGGCTTTTCCTGGTAAAATCAAATAGTAAAATTATTGTAAAAATGTAAAAAAATGGCAGCTGGATTTTGTCTCCTCTCGCAGCCTCTCCTGCTGCTGCTGCCAGTCCTCCAGTGCCCAGCCGCACACCGGGCCCCGGTCACAGCGGCACGACACGGCTGCCCAGGGAGGCGTTCAACCCCTTGTCTCCGTATGCCCAGAGGAACCACTCGGAGCAGGCCGTGTCATCCCGCACGGCCCCCGGGGGCCAGGCCCCGCCACCGCCACCGCCCGTCGCCCCCGTGCCGACACCCGGCGCCTACCAAAATGGAGCGCCGGGCCACGGCAGGTAAGGGGAGGGGCCTTCCCCCACCTACCCCAACGCACAAACCGACAGGAGGACTTCGTGAGAAACGTACTCCGTTTCTGAGCGTCGATCAGCCCCTAAATTGTACTATGGCAGTCTCCATGAGGTTGCAGACCAAGGGGAAGAGAAAGCCTAGGTAGGGCCAAATGGCGGGAGACTGAGCACGAAACTTTGAGGTGACCGTGTGACTGTGCAGCAGCTGCAGCATTTAGTGGAGCTTGGAGAGCGGTGGTAGCGACGTGTGGTGGTCATGGTGGTGGGGGCATCACTGGCTTTGGCCGCAATGACCTCTCCATTGTCAATGTGTCATTCTCAGATTTTTTTTTTTGTAAATTGTCCTTTTTTTAAATCTATCTCCCATGGTTCCAGTTACATGTCGCGTATCGTCACATGAGATCAAATAGCTCTAAGTGATAATTTTGAAACATAGATGTCAAGCAGAGAACCCCAAAGGCCCCAAACAACCAGCGGCAGAAACAGAGTTGTAATAAATAAAGTTGACATGTGAAGCAAGGTTATTGTTGTCGAAGATGGGGAAAACGAGGCAATTACGATGAGGGAATTCCAAAGTGCAGCATTGCAAGAGAAGAAGCAGACAGAGAACGGTTTTTGCCTGCAGTGTGGTGGGTGAGAGTAGTTGAGTGAGTGAGCAAATGGGTGAGTGAATGAGTGTGATCTTGATTTGAAGTTTTCGTGACTGCAGGAATCCCCATACTCTTTGGTTTTTTCGGTAAAGTCACGTAGGTAGAAAAAATAAATAATAAATCACGACGTTTTGATCGCAACACAAGCAATCGTCATCAGGTGGAAAGATACAGGTGGGTTCAGAGATGGAAAGGAGTCCCGTCGCCGCACGCACGCACAACAGCTGCGTTAAAGGGAGAGATTGGCACGTTAATTTAAACGAGTTTGATGGGAAATGAGCACCATCGTCGCACGCAGCTGCTGTGCGGTGACGGGACTCCTTTCCATCTCTGACCTCGCCTACTTAACCTTGGGTGACGCCCACTTCAAACCTATATATAACCTCTTGTTGCAGCAGCCCTTTCCTGTTCAGCAGTTCTACTGCTGTATATTTCCACCTGATGACGATTGCTTGTGTTGCGATCGAAACGTCGTGATTCATTATTAATTTTGTCTACCTACGTGACTTTACCGAAGAACCAAAGAGTAATGAGTGTGATGTTTTGATCTCCGTTATGATGGTTGAGATGATTGTCTGCCTCAATGGGTGAAGGAATCGACGAATGAATTTCCATGTAACAGTAGGCATGGTAGGAGCAATATAAGAGTGACAAGGAGGCAACTGATGAGTGTTCTTGTTTCTGTCTTGAAGCTTCCAAAGATCCCAAAACACGCAAGAAAACCTCACAGTGCTGCGCCACCAACGACCTCTTCCCCCGTTATCGGCGGCACAAACTCCACAACCACCACCGCCGCCTACAACGTTACCTCCCCCACTCCCTCCACCATTAACAGGACCTCCACAGCCATCGTCAACATCCTCAGGACATCGACCTTCTCAGCCGTCAACAGGACCTCTGGTCCCAGCATCATCATCAGGCTCTCAACTTTATTATCCACAATCATCGAAAGGACCTCTTCCTCCTCCTCCTCCTCCTCCTCCTCCTCCTCCTCCTCCTCCTCCACCACCACCGCCGTCGACGGGACCTCCGGGCTTTCCGCTAATGGGGCCCTCTCCCCCCACTTCTCCTCCTCCTCCTCCATCGTCACGCCCACCACCACTTGCCCCGCCACCGCTGTGCCCCCTGCCCCCTGCTGGGCAGCCAGCCGCTGGCGACCGACCATCGGCCGCTAGTCTGTTGCTGCGGATTCGGAGTGGACGGGGATCAAGGGCGGAGCCTGATTTAACGATGGCGGAGCTTGAGGAATACAGGGCGGAGCCTCAGGGGGAGTGTGCGGAGCTGGATCGATACAGGGCGGAGCCTCGGGGGGAGAGGGCGGAGCTGGATCGATACAGGGCGGAGCCTCGGGGGGAGAGAGCGGAGCTGGATCGATACAGGGCGGAGCCTCGGGGGGAGAGGGCGGAGCTGGATCGATACAGGGCGGAGCCTCGGGGGGAGAGGGCGGAGCTGGATCGATACAGGGCGGAGCCTCGGGGGGAGAGGGCGGAGCTGGATCGATACAGGGCGGAGCCTCGGGGGGAGTGTGCGGAGCCTGAACGGTGGCCAGACGGGGCTGAGGCACAGGCACCCCCTCCTGCACCGCCAACTCCGCTCTTAATGCCGTCCGATGACCGACGAGGGGGACTCCTTGATCAGATCCGACAAGGCTTCCAGCTCAAGGCGGTGAGTGCAGCATACGCCGTGAGTGCCCCGGCATCGTGCATGGTGTTTTAAGAACCGATGATCAAGTTGCCAGGATTGCACTAAGTAGGGTTGAGCGTGGCTGGCACACAGCGGTGACGAGATGTTACCTCCCTCGTCTGGTATGAAGGTCGATCCCGACCCTGACACCTGTATATTTGGAGTTTGCATTCTCTCTCCCCGTGGATTTTTTTCCGTGTCCTCCGATTTTTCCCTCCACGTTTATAAACATGCGTTTAGATTAGTTGTTTGCTATTAATGTCCAGATGATAAGCTACTTGGTTGAGCTATCAAGTTAGATAAAATGACTGCCACACTGCAGAAAATCAACCGTGGTTGTGTTGTGAATAGATTCTACCCGTGCCATGGATATGGGGAATTTCCACCACTGGCTCAGGGCTACCATGAGAGGTGTTTCATGCCATGTATCAGTGTGTGTTGGTAAGGCATATGTTTCATGTAGTGTATCAGTGTTAGTAAGGCATATGTTTCATGTCATGTATCAGTGTTAGTAAGCCATGTATTTCATGCCGTGTATCATTGATTTGTCACCTCAATGTGGCGCAGATGCTCCCCGGGCGCATTTGGCATTTCTCCTGCATGGTGTCCGTGCCACAGTCTGCACTCCCCTCCCCAGCTTATGAGCCGCTGCTTTAACCCCCTCCTGTTCTGTCCGTGGGGTGGCGGCCACCGTCAGGTCCCAGAGACAGATGGAGCGATGACCCCATCTGCTGGAGACGGCGGAATCGTTGGCGCCTTGATGGAGGTGATGAATCGGCGCAGTCGCATCGTGCAGTCGTCAGGTGAGCACGCGAGCAAACGCGCACAGGCACACAGCGAGCCTGTACCCAGGCAGGCATGAACCCAGGCAGGCACGTGTGCACTTCTGTGGTGCCCCCAGTGCAGTATTCAGGGTAGGAATTTCCATTGACAATGTGCTTCAACGTTTAAGTGCATTTTGGTTGAACCAGGGGAGAACCCAAGAGACCAGAATGAAGTTTCTTTGGTGTCCGAGGTCATCAAAGTGGCAAAAGTGATGGCATAAAAGCAAAGTATAGTAAGTCCTTGTTTAACGTGATAGATGGATTCCTGAAAAGTGGTGCATTAAGCAAAAACAATTCCCCCTTAAATTATGTAATAAAGTTTGGCGAAATAAGATGTACACAAACAGTGAGATAGTAGAACTAATAACGGAGGGTACGCCGCCGCATTACTGTATAATTCCTCCGCATACTCTATTGTACTGCTCAGCCGTGCAGCTCAAGGAAGTAGTTCATCATTGACCACTCAGAAACCGTATTAAAATGGTGCACACTCTACATCATAACGTTACGCATTCCGTGTTGTGTGAAAAATGTTCCCTAATGGAAGAATTGAATTATAGTGAAAACATGTTGTATGAACACGCGTCAAGCAAGGACTTGCCATACAGCAAAAAATCTAATGTTAATCAGAGCAAAAACAACCCAATATAATGTATATGAGCCAAACCAAAAAATGTAAACAAAAATAACTGCATCACATAGAGAATTGAAAATATTGCAATTGTAATTCCCTGCAGTTAAAATCGGCTTGGATTGATGACCTCTGCAGTTTCTTCCTTCAAACACTGTCAACTCAAAGCGCCTGACATGAAGTCTCAACCTGCATCAGTCTAAGGGGTCCCCCTAGTGGCAGCTGTCCCTCTGCAGCACAAGGTGGAGAGAGCGCCAGCCTGAAAATGGGAGTTAGTCTGCCAGGAGAGGATGATGTGCCTTGTGGATTTTCTGAATGAAGTAGTTTATGGCCAATTTATCAAACTTTGCAAAGTTTGGACCATGATGCTGGCACCTATGGCCTTCTGTTTTGAATGGCATCCCAGAATCTTTAATGTCCCCTGTGAAACAGACTACACATCAATGTGGAATACACCACTAACTTCTCTAACAGGTGGCAAACATGCAATTTCACAGCCTTGTCAGTCCCATCCAACAAGGTGGAGTTCAGAATCAACATTTGAATGGCCAAGCTGGGTTATGGGCAGTTGGGTTACACTAAACTTAATTGGTAGCTCTAAGGAAGTGGTGGAAATTCCACATTCCCATGGTGGGGGTCAGCTTGTACACAGCTAAAAATTGATCTAGTAATGATTGATTGCGTAGGCACGGTGAAGCGGGCTAGCGGTAGCGCACTCGCCGTTCATTGCAGAGGTTCACAGTTCAATTCAGTGGCTGCCAGGGTTAATACTGCGGGTGTATTAACCATAATAATACCATGCCGCACCCTCTGCTTCACTGTGGATGTTAAAGATCATCTCACATCGGTTGCAAGAGTAGGCCATTGGGTACTCGCGTCACAGTCCTAATATGAACAAACACAACTTGCTGAATTAGAATATACACATAAATCATTGTCCCCAACTTGGCAGGACCCTCCTGAAGAATATTATGAAACAATTTTTTATTTTACCAGGTAAGGCCCACTGAGCTATATAGCTTTTTTCAGAGGCGACCTGGCCACATGATAGCTCAATGATGTGGCTTATTATATGGAAATTTATAGCAGCAGAGTACTCTAAATTACGTTTATAAATCCGGAAGGAAAAACTAGAGGACTCGTATATAAACCCGCCACCAATCAAAACAGGACTTCTCCACAAATCTGGCTGTCGCCTGATGAAGCTAGTTGTAATTACCGGCGAAACGTCGTACTCAGATTGTAAATGATGTGGCTTGGTTCTCCAACACACTGGTGTACTGTACCAGTAAAACATTGGCATGTTCTATTTACGTGATAAACCTTACTAATTGGCTGTGTCGGGTGATGGCGGGTTTAACAACACATTTATATATATTTACGCGATCTAACCCAAAAACTGTGTATTATGGATGATATTGGTCGCGAAAGCCTACGTGTTAAACCAATCCAAATATACAGGCATCATGGTTGGGATCGAAGCCATGACCTCTTGCATACCAGGCAAGGTGTGCACCCTATTGTGTCTCACAGTGAGGTTTTCCTTGGTAGATGAGCGTAGTACTAATGACAATAACGTACCCTAACTTTTTAGGATGACAGTACGGAAACATACCCAAAATATACAAACATATGCCAGTCGAATGCTGATGTTAACCCTCGTTTCATTTGCAGATGAAGAAAGCGATGATGAAGATGGCTGGGATTAAAAGTTTGCACGGATGGATTTTTGATGATCCCTCTTGCGCAGATAAACGCTCGTTTCCCTTGCATCGAACGTAGAGTTTACGTCCCGGCCTGCACGTCATGTTGTGTGCGTGCCACGTGGGTTCACGTGACCCACAAAGCACTCTGCATCCTCGCATTGACTGGCAATCTCTCCCACCGAAGCGTTTACAGGAAGACGCAAAAAGTCACTCCTGTCGTCATTAGCGCGTGTGCCCCCTTGTAAAAGACAATACTGCGCGTAGTATTAGCAGCGGTAGGCTAACATTGTGGGCGGTGGCCCTGCTTGAGTTTTATTGTTGGGTAGGAAGCCAGTGTCAATGACAAGATGGCGAGTTACCCTAATTACCGTCCACGTGGCCTCAACAGCGATGCATCTTTAACGCCAACACTCGTGGGATTGGGCCTCTTTCAGGAAGATAATGATTGAGAAGTGAACCGAGCTGACTGTTGTGGAATTCATGAACGTGAGTGAAGATCATTGGCGCTGTTCGTAATGTTGGCTGGAGGTTATCCACACAAAATTAAATGTTCGTTTTCACTCTTTTACGCATGTCGCCATTTGACAATCGCTTAAAAAAATACTCAGATTGTCCCAGAAGTTTTTTCTTTTGGTAATATAAGTTTCGTGGTGTCTTAGACCAGATCAGCTCCCTGGCTTTATGGAAGCAGTATTCTGCTCTTATTTTTAAGTTTAGTAAAATGTTGCAAATAAACGAGACACGCTAATAGCCCACGATTGTTTCACAATTCACTTAAATTGACCACGGAGGAACCGGTGATTCTTGGGGCTTCGCTCCTCTCCGAGTACCATCGGATGATGATTCCTGTTTGGATTCGTTGCAATAACTGTGTGCATTATTTGCGGTAAAAAAACAGGGCGCATATCAAAAGTGGAATTTGAATACCATAAAAAAAACACCACTCGCTGTGACATTTACAGCGGTAGTGGGGCTGGACGTGTGTACACTGCTGGTAAACTTAATGGCTGCTGCTGGACCTGTGCGACCTCTTGCGTTTTTGTTTTATCATCATGTATGGGGTTTGTGGTTTGGGTTGGTTCGTGAATCTGGACTGAAGGAGACCTGAATGCAGCAATTAGCTTCAAACGTGTTTTTGTTCTCCGTTTCAAGTCCGTAAATACTATAAAGACGTCGTGCTTTGCTGCGTACCAGTAATCTGATCTGTTGCAACATTCCCTGTCCAACGCGTCTGGTGCACTGCAGTTGTGCGGACCACACATGGCCTGTGGCTAAGCCACCTGGAGTGTGCCCGCTGTCGTCCAATCGCAGAATCTAAGCGGGCTTGAGCCCGGATAGCGTTTGGTTGGGCGATCACCGTGCACAGCAGGCCTGTGCAGCAAAAATCTATTGTTGTACTGTACATCTACGCTCCCATGTCTACACTTCCTGCCTTCACCAACTTGCGAAAACTAATGTGGCCAATGAACCCCCGCGACCCATGCAACTTGGAGATGCCGTCATCCAGCAGTTGATTGACAAGCAGGCCGTGCGTGTACCCGATAGATCCCGCGTGGTTATTGCCATTGCTGGGAGTGTCCGCACGATCCACTCGCCGCTGCGGCGGCATCGCTGTCGCTCCACTGAGCTCGCTCCAAGTGCTCCTAAATGGGGGGATGGCTTCGTGGCAGCAGCAGTGGCATTCGAGTTTGGCCTTGGGGAGACTGTGGGCTCTTCTTGTATGGCGTTTCACGGCATCTCCCAAGTTGAACAATGTGTTGCATATTTTAACGCGAACAAATTCCGTTAAGCAAAATAAAAGGTAAAGGAGCAGTCCTGCAATTTCTTGCGCATGCCACCGCAGGTCCGTTCACTCGAGGGGGAGTTCAGAGCCCCTTTGGTTGAGGGTATTTTGATCTCCTCTTCCACACTGGCTAGACGTCATGGGATAGGTGATAATACCCACACTTTACCCCAATTGCCAATCGACTGTGGTGTAAACGTACTGATGGGTGGATGGAGGCTGTGCTGCTGTGAGTTTTTTCGCAAACCCATCGGGCAGAATTGTCTCCCAAACAACAGGAAGTCTTCACTCAGCCACCGCGAGAGTCCAAATTCAGTTTATTTGGCTTTTTGTGGGTTGGGAGTTGACTCTTCCGCAACTGTTGGATCTGACAAAAGGAAGCTGCCCTCAGGGGTGATGCCATTAACTGCGTGGCTGCAGTGACACCTTTACCTTGTTTTTAAAGTCATGCTCCATTTATAAATGTATATTTCCCATGTGTGTGTGTGGGGGAGGGAGCAGTAATGTAGCGGTGAGCAAGACGAACCCGGCGACCAGATTTCGATTCCCGCTCACGGCCAACAACATCAGTGACAATTATCTGAACCGATACTGGGCCTCCCATGGGGTCGACTTGGCCTCAAATGAGTACCTGGTGTGGTGTGTAAACATCACCACTGGGGAGACAAAGGCGGCCGGGCGTGGAGCTGGCCACCCACCCCCTCGTGTGCCATGCCGGGCTACATAAGTGCTCGCGAACAGCATTTGCCCCGACAGTCTTAAGGCTATATGGGGGGGGGGTCTTTGTCTTGTTTTTGTATAGTCGTAAGCCATATTGCCAAGATATCCTTTCATTGTCCGAAGTATTACTGTGTTTTACGTTGCTAATTCCGCGTCCAATTTAATGTGTTGTCTTGAGTATAGCTTGCATCTTGGTTACATTGACCGTTATCTTTTCGGGAAACGCTAAATTAGTTCAGGGGCAACGAATGCAGTCCGTTACTTGTGTGTACTCGTGTGATTTGTCTTCGTGGAGGATTTGCATTGAGAAGAAATAAATGATTATGAGTTGTGCAGCAGCAATTGTCTTCTAAGCCAGAAGTCCCACTGGCCATGTCGGCTCTCTCCATGAGCTTCTGTTGTGTGCCTCTACTCTACTAACATCCACCATTCTTATATCGAGAACCAGAGGGGATGACAAGGTGGCAGCGCAATGGTGACACTTGTGCCTCACAGCAAGACGTCCTGGGTTCAATTCCCAAATCAGGTGACTTTCTACGAATCGTTTGTGTGTTCTATTCTGCAGAGAGCAAGTGTCTTTGGAGAGGATGGGCTGATACAGTACAGGGGGATGTAGAGTTGATTGGACTTGCCGATGACTGGCACCTGGGGGTCAAAATCGGAGGCTCGTGAATGCCTCTAACCTGGACAGGTGGTACCCAGAAGCCACCAAAGGGGCGACCCCGGCTTGCGGGATTGTGGGTTCCTTCCCCAGCGCAGCTTCACATTGAATCGATAACGTGATTCATAAAGACATCCGAGATGCGGTGGTGGCCCGAAGTGGACCTCACTTGGGCCTGCTGAGGGGAGCGGGTGGGGGTTTGGAGGAAGATCCGGCAGGTGTGGAAGATCAGGGATCGAATGCTAACCTAACCAATCTAAAGTTTATGTTTATCTATATATACAGTAAAACGTTGGCTTGCGAGCATAATTCGTTCCGGAAAGGTGTTTGTAATCCAAAGCACTCGTATATCAAAGCACTCGTATATCAGTTGTGATCACATGACGCTCGGCAGACAAAGCGTAAACACGTATTCCTCGTATTGCAAGACCTCGCCCGTTTATCAAATGAATATTTTTTTATTTTTAAATTGCTCGTCTTGCAAAACACTCGCAGACCAAGTTACTCGCAATCCAATGTTTTACTGTAAAAGGGAAATAAAAGTAAAATTTGTGAATGTGTCTGTTCAAAATGTTTAGCGTACTTCCCGACATGCAACAAGCTCGAAATGTGGCACATGGCTGATTGGCTGGCTCACCACCACGCACACCACCACGCACACCACCACGCACACCACCACGCACACGCCCACGCACACCACCACGCACACCACCACGCACACCACCACGCACACCACCACGCACACGCCCACGCACACCCCCACGCACACCACCACGCACACCACCACGCACACCCCCACGCACCCCCCACGCACACCACCACGCACACCACCACGCACACCACCACGCACACCCCCACGCACACCCCACGCACACCCCCACGCACACCACCACGCACACCCCCACGCACACCACCACGCACACGCCCACGCACACCCCCACGCACACCACCACGCACACCACCACGCACACCACCACGCACACCACCACGCACACGCCACCGCACACGCCCACGCACACGCCCACGCACACCACCACGCACACGCCCACGCACACCACCACGCACACCACCACGCACACGCCCACGCACACGCCCACGCACACGCCCACGCACACCACCACGCACACCACCACGCACACCACCACGCACACCACCACGCACACCACCACGCACACCACCACGCACACCACGCACACCACGCACACCACACGCACACCACCACGCACACCACACTCACACGCCACGCACACTCCCACTCACACTCCCACGCACACACCACACCACCACTCACACCACCACGCACACCACCACGCACACCACCACGCACACCACCACGCACCCCGCACCCACGCACACCACCACGCACACCACCACGCCACCACCACTCCACGCCCACGCACACCCCACTCACACGCCCACTCACACCACCACGCACCCCACCACGCACACCACCACTCACACCACCACGCACCACCCCCACTCACACCCCCACGCACACCACACCACCCACCACCACGCACACCACCACCACACCACCACGCACACCACCACTCACACGCCCACGCACACCACCACCACACCACCACGACACCACCCACGCACACACTCACACCACCACTCACACCACCACTCACACCCCACGCACACCACCACTCACACCACCACTCACACCACCAATCACACCACCACGCACACCCCACACACCACCATGCACACCACCACGCACACCACCACGCACACCACCACTCACACCCCACCACACCACCACGCACACCACCACTCACACCACCACGCACACCCCCACTCACACCCCACTCACACCACCACTCACACCACCACTCACACCACCACTCACCCACCACGCACACCCCCACCACCCCCACCACACCCCCACTCACACCACCACTCACACCCCCACTCACACCCCCACGCACACCACCACTCACACCCCCACTCACACCACCACTCACACCACCACTCACACCACCACGCCACACCCCCACGCACACCACCACCACCCCACCACTCACACCACCACTCACCCACCACCACACCCCCACGCACACCACCACGCACACCACCACGCACACCACCACGCACACCCCCACGCACACCACCACGCACACCACCACCACCACCACACCCACCACCACCACTCACACACCCCCACTCACACCCCCTCACACCCCCACTCACACCACCACTCACACCACCACTCACACACTCACACACCCACTCACCCACCACTCACACCACCACTCACACCACCACGCACCACCATGCGCACCACCACGCACACCACCACTCACATGCCCACTCACACCACCACTCACACCACCACTCACACCCCACCACACCACCACCACACCACCACTCACCCACCACCACCCACCACCACTCACACCACCACTCACACACCCCACTCACACCACCACTCACCACCACCACTCACACCACCACTCACACCACCACTCACACCACCACTCACACCTCACACCACCACTCACACCACCACTCACCCCCACCACTCACCCACCACTCACCCCACCACTCACACCACCACGCACACCACCACGCACCTCCACTCACACCCCCACCACACCCCCACTCACACCACCACTCACACCCCCACTCACACCACCACGCACACCACCACACACCCCCACGCACCACCACTCACACCACCACTCACACCCACCACACCACCACTCACACCACCACTCACACCCCACTCACACCCCCACCACACCCCCACTCACACCACCACTCACACCCCCAAACGCACAACACCACGCACACACCACGCCCACACCACGCAACACCCCCACGCACACCACCACGCACACCACCACGCACACCACCACGCACACCCCCACGCACACCACCACGCACACCCCCACGCACACCACCACGCACACCACCACGCACACCCCCACGCACACCACCACGCACACCAACACGCACAACCATCACGCACATCCCACGCCACCACCCAGCACACAACCACGCACACACCACGCCAACACCTCCACGCACACCACCACGCACACCACACCACGCACACCACCACAACACCTCACGCCACACACCACGCAACCCCCACCACCCGCACACACCACGCACACCACCACGAAAGCGAACGCGGAGGCCTGCAGGCGCGTATTTCGCACACTTGCGCGTAACCACGCGTGCCCCTACAGGCGCTTATTCCGTACAAAGGTTCACGCTAAAGAAAACGGCGGCATTAATACGCGTGCGCACCCCCCGGGTGGTTAAGCCCTAATCCGCAGCACACAAAAAAGGGTCGCGCTAAAGGGCTGCGGGAATTTGCACGCGCACCTCGCGCCCACACTCGAATTACCCCCCAACACCACCGCCACCAACACCACCACCACCAACACCACCAACACCACCACCGCCACCGCCACCAACACCACCACCAACCCCACCACCGCCGCCAACACCGCCACCGCCACCAACACCACCACCAACACCACCGCCACCAACGCCAACACCGCCAACACCACCACCAACGCCACCAACACCATCGCCAACAACACCAACACCACCGCCGCCAACACCACCAACACCAACAACAACCGCCATTCGCCACTAAGTGGCGGTGACGTCACCACGATGCTTGTGCCAGGCCAAGTGCACCTTGAGGCCACGTGAAGTGTCGAAAGCCCGCTGGCAGGAGGTCACGGGGCAGACCCAGGTGCCACTGGTCGACTGACCGAGATGACCGAGATGACTGGCTGATGCACCACCTGTGCCCCCTACTGTGCCAACTTGCTGTGCTTTAGCCACCCGGCGCTCCGCTCGTTGTTGTGAGCGTCGCTCCTCCGCCCTCCGTTGTTGTTGGAGGGCGACTGCCTCCAACTGCCCAGTAGCGTCCTTCACGAGCCTCCTCCACTGAGGCCGATCTTGACACCGCTGGTACCAGTCATCGGCAAGTCCACTCAGCTCCACGTCCTCCTGTACCACATCACTCCATCTCTTCTCCAGCCCGCCAACAACACCAACACCACCGCCACCAACACCACCGCCAACACCACCAACACCGCCAACACCACCAACACCAACACCACCGCCACCAACACCACCGCCGCCAACACCACCGCCACCAACACCACCGCCACCAACCCCACCACCGCCACCAACCCCACCACCGCCACCAACACCACCACCAACACCACCACCACCGCCACCAACACCACCGCCGCCAACACCACCAACACCACCACCGCCACCACCAAAGCCACCACCAACACCACCGCCACCAACCCCACCACCGCCACCAACACCACCGCCACCAACACCACCGCCACCAACACCACCGCCACCAACACCACCGCCACCAACACCACCACCGCCACCAACACCACCCCCGCCACCAACACCGCCACCAACACCGCCACCAACACCACCACCAACGCCACCAACACCACCACCGCCACCAACACCGCCACCAACACCAACACCACCGCCACCGCCGCCACCACCACCACCACCGCCACCAACACCACCGCCACCACCAACACCACCACCGCCACCAACACCACCCCCGCCACCAACACCGCCACCAACACCGCCACCAACACCACCAACACCACCACCAACGCCACCAACACCACCACCGCCACCAACACCGCCACCAACACCAACACCACCGCCACCGCCACCACCACCACCACCACCGCCACCAACACCGCCACCAACACCACCGCCACCACCACCACACCACCACCACCGCCACCAACACCACCACCAACACCACCGCCACCAACCCCACCAACACCGCCACCAACACCACCACCACCGCCACCAACACCGCCACCAACACCACCACCGCCACCAACGACACCAACACCACCGCCACCAACACCACCACCGCCACCACCGCCAACACCACCACCGCCACCACCGCCACCAACCCCGCCACCAACACCACCACCGCCACCAACACCACCGCCAACAACACCAACACCACCGCCAACAACACCAACACCACCGCCGCCAACACCACCGCCGCCAACACCACCGCCACCAACACCACCACCACCAACACCACCGCCACCAACCCCACCACCGCCACCAACACCACCACCAACACCACCACCAACACCACCACCAACACCACCACCGCCACCAACACCACCACCGCCACCAACACCACCACCAACACCACCGCCACCAACACCACCAAACACCACCACCGCCACCAACACCACCACCGCCACCAACACCACCACCAACACCACGACCACCACCGCCACCACCACCACCACCGCCGCCACCACCACCAACACCACCACCAACACCACCACCGCCAAACACCACCACCGCCACCAACACCACCACCGCCACCAACACCACCACCACCACCGCCACCACCACCAACACCACCACCAACACCACCGCCACCACCACCACCACCACCACCACCGCCACCATCACCAACACCACCACCACCACCGCCACCAACACCACCAAACACCACCACCAACACCACCACCGCCACCACCACCACCACCGCCACCACCACCAACACCACCACCAACACCACCACCAACACCAACACCACCACCGCCACCAACACCGCCACCACCACCAACACCACCGCCACCAACGCCGCAGCGCTGCGCCCGCTCCCCCGGGGCGCACTTCACGCGCCCCAAGGCGGCGCCCCGCGGCGCGGACTGCCCCCCCGCGCCTGCAGCTCCACGCTCCGTCTCTCGCGCAGTCGAACCACACACACATCGCACACCACACACACATCAAGACACCACACACACATCAAGACACCACACACACATCAAGACACCACACACACCGCACACACATCGCACACACCACACACATCAAGACACCACACACACATCAAGACACCACACACATCGCACACACACCGCACACACATCGCACACACATCAAGACATCACACACACATCAAGACACCACGCCGAGGTTCTACCCACACACACAGAAATCACACTGCACCGATCCTCTGAACTAAGTTTATTAACGGTGCAAATACACACGACCTGAAGGTGGCATACTTCGCAAGAAGGGCTTCGCCTGACTGCCTACGAACCCAGTCAGTCGAGCGTCCTTCCAAGTACCTCGAAAGGACTCGCGACGTCGCACGGACGCTGCGAGAGTCGGAGAAGGACGAGAGGAACCCTCACCTACCACTGCCTCGCAGCGGCACTCGCTGGCATCACAGGGACGCTGCGAGCGGCTCGAGGAGGAGGCAGGACGGCAGGGGGTGGGTCTTGGCGGCCCGGAGGTTGAAGACTGACCTAATCGTCCCGGGGCTCCCACCTTCATTCTCTAAACTTCAAAGGCCCAGGGGGACGTATTTTAAACTGATGTCCCGCCCTTACCTGGAGCCTTATTTCCCAATACGCCTCGACCCATTGTCGAGGTGCCCTCCCTCCCCCTTGCGGATTCAGCCGCTTTGGTCGGCGGCGTCGTCCCGCGGACTGCGCCTCCACGCGGGGGGTCCAGGGCCTCCCCCCTCGAGCCCCTCTCCGCCTGCGCCGCCCGCGTGAGACCCCCCCTGGCCCCTCCCCCGGTGCCGAGCGCTCTCATTGTGGCGAGCCCGGTGAGTTTCTGTGCGCCCATACAAGTTCAAGCCAATTCTGGGGCACCGCAATGCGACCCGTCGTCCTGAGGGTCGGCAAAGCTCCTGGCGCCGGGAAACCGCGGGACTCTCCCTCTAGGGGCCCTTCGGATGAGAACCGCGAGGTGCCGGGCAACTCCCCGCCAGGACCCCTCGGCGGCGGGTGCGCTGCGTGCGGCGGTCGCGGCGCCACCACAAGTCGCGTTGGGCACGAGCTGAGCTGCAGTTGCCCTCTCGGGTTCCAACAACTCGAGCTCGACAAAGACACGCGTGGAACCCCAGTTCGAATTCGACTCCCGCTCACGGCCACCAACATCCGAGACAATGATCCGAGCAGGTCCTGGGTATACCCCAGGTCGAATCGGACTCAAATGAGTACTGGTGTGGCATGTAAATATCACCACTGGGAAGACAAAGGCGGGCGGGCTGGCGTGGTTGTTGTGCTTGCAAACGACACTTGCCCTAAGTCTGTCAGAGGCTATGGGGGGAGGGGGGAATTGTCTTTGCAGTTCCACGGGGGACGCAGTTTGCCGCGGTCCCTCGCTCTCACCGCCACTTCCAGTTCACGAGCGCGCAGGGAAACTCCCGCGGGCATCGACAACTTCGTTTCGAACAGAAGCGCCACCGCAACTCTCCTCACTGAACGCCTCTCCTCACTGAACGCATACCGTGAGTGTCCAACAAGAGACGTGAACAGTCCACCTTAAACTTACATTATCCCACGGACATCCTGCAATGCATAGCAATGGGGGCCTGTGCGCCCTCGAGATCACACGCTGGGTGCAATGCACGCGCCCTGGGGCGATGTGTGCGCGCCGTGTGAGTGTCGCGTGTTGCCGTGGCCGTGCGGGGGGGTTTGCGACGGAGACGAGTTTGGTTCTGGGGTCAGAGTCAGAGTCCCGGCGGCGGCGTGGGGAGCGGAACTCCGTGGCCATCTTCGGTGTCTGTCCATGTACGGGTCGGCGTGCGGCCCGCGCGAGTTATTTTAAAATCGCGTTCGACGAGGCGTCTCGCGACGGGTCCATGGATGAGTAGAGGCGCAGCCCCTGCATTGCAGCTGCTGGCGGAAGCGTCTCCTGTCGTGGCAGCTCTCGAGATCTAGGAGGTACCTCGAGGGTATTCGGTCCGGGGTCTTAGAAGAGGTGGGACCGTGGGAGTACCCAGGCAGTGAACACAGCCGTAAGGGGCCGTCCATAAATGACGTCACGCGATTTTGGACGATGTTTGACCCCCCCCCCCCTCGTCACGCGGCGTCACAAAAAGTCAGACCCCCCTTCAAATATGACGTCACAAAGCTCTGCCCCCCCCCCCCAATAAAACATGCTTCAAATCGCTTTAAACTATTGTCATTGTAGTGCGTATTTAATGTGGCGCTGCACTCTGATGTTGTAGGATAAAACATTTAATAAAAAGTCTATCTAATTAAGTAGAACGTGTTGTCCATATTTATTTAAAGTTGCGCATTTTGATGTGACGTCACATTTCTCACCCTCCCCCTCGTCACACATCGTCACAAATGTCTGACCCCCCCCCCCCCTAGGTGCGTGACGTCATTTATGGACGACCCCTAATTCACCCGCGTATTAGCACGGCTTGCTATGTACGGTACGAAAGGCGTTCAACATACATATTAACTAGTGTATTAGATGTCAGAAGTTAACAGTAAGTCCAGTGTGTCTCTTTTCATTTGTGCCATGCTTACAGTGCAACCGGCTATCACAAAGACGTCTCAGAGACGGGCTTCGTCTGCCAGCCAGGGGCGATATGAGCTGGACGTGACTGCACGTGGCCTGTGATCCAGCAGTGGAGGCAGCGAGGGTTGGTGCGAGCACGGAGGAAGACCTCGGCGTGGTCACGTCACGAGCCATGGGGGCAGACGAGGACGAGGACGCCATCGCCAGCGGAGCGATCTTCGCCGTGGAGAGTGTGGACGGAGCTGTTGGTGCGTGCGGTGACAGTAATGCCTCTCTTGCTTTCATGTTCCTTTAGCCGAAAGGTAACGTGCGTAGAGAATTTACCGCACCTCTGGTTCGCACGGTTGGCTATGTACGGTGCGAAAGACGTTCAACATACGGTACATATATACCGAATAAATACGCAGACAATATCTGTTTCTTCAAATGAAAAAGTTAAAGTATTTTTGATACATCCCATCAGTGAAAACTCATGACCAGTTTCGACAGTCCGTGTTGTATTTGTTGTACACTCCTTGTTGTAGTTGGTGTTGTTACTGTTGGGTAGTTATTGTAGTTGTTGCCGAGTGGCTGCAGGGGGGCCGCGGATCGAGGCGGTGCTGCTGCACCAGCGGCCCGCGCTGGCCGAGGCGTGCGCGCTCCTCCTGCATGAGCAGTGGGGCTGGCTGAGCGTGCAGGCGCGCCTCGTGTCACTGCAGCGCTCCTCCCACGCCTTCCCCCTCTCGCTCGTGCTGCTCGCTGCGTGCCCGGCGGGGGGCACCACCCCCCAGGTGACCTTCCAAAAGAGATGCGCTCTGCTGATGAGACACCGAATTTTTTAAACTGAGTTTTGTGTCGAACTAGGACCCATATCTAACAGAGGGACGGTCCTTGCCTACAAACATCTGGCAGTTCTAACACGAAAGCTAAACAATTTTTATTTTACCAGGCAAAGCCCACTGAGCGATATAGCTCTTTTTCAGAAGCGATCTGGCTACAACGAAGTGGCTCATCATGTGGAAATGTATCGCAGCCAAATACTCAATGCATGATTCTAAATGTGCAGGGAAAAACAGGAAGACTCGGAGAAAAAAACACGTGAAATTCACATGGATTGGTTCCAGCAAGACTGGCTGCTGGTGAGACACCTAATGCCAAAGCCGGTCCAAAGTTTACCAAAACCTCTATGCCAAGCTGAACAAAAATTCTGTCTGTGATGCCCCTCCGGGACTACTCGATGCCTTGGCCACGTCGCCGGCGGGGAAGGTAGCTGACCCCGACGGGATAGCAGTGGAGCTTTATCGAAAAGTAGGGCCCGCCTTACTGCTTAGTCAATGGTAATGCTTGACACAGTCTTAAGTTCAGGCTCTCTCGCCGGGTCCATGAACAAAGCTAGAATTTTGGTCCTACATAAACTGGGCACCCTGGCGGTTGGCTGAGGTAACTTTAGACCCATTTCGCTTTTATAAGCAGATTATAAAATCCTCACTAAGATCCTTGCAATGAGATTGAAAAAGGTACCCCCAACGATTGGTGAAGCCCAGACGGGGTTTGTTAAAAACATAGGTTTGTATGATAATGTCAGAACTCTGGTCAACGCGATGGAAATTGTCTCGAGGGACAACCTGGCCGCTTACGCCCTTACCCTGGATGGGGAAGAGGCATTTGACACGGTTGAAAGGGCCTTCCTGTTCCGGGTGATGAACACATCGGGCTTTCCCCCCTCATTCATCGACATTTGCAGACTCCTGTATGCTAACCCTATGGCCTAGGTGATTACAAATACCTTAACATCTTCCAACTTTGTTCTAAGCAGAGGTACAAGGCATGTTTGCCCTCTTTCACCATTACTTTTTACCCTGGCCATGGAGCCATTTGCTGAGAGTATTAGGACAAGTCAGCGGATTTCGGGAGTAAGATACAGCGCAGGAGAAAACAAAATAAACCTTTACGCCGACGATGTCCTTGTCACTTTAAAAAACCCGGAAGTCTCAATCCCTGCTATTTTGGCCCTAGTGAGGGAGTATGGGGAGCTTCGGGATACAAATTAAATGTAACAGTCGGAATTGATGCCCCTATCACCGGTATCCCCTCAAACCCCCGAGGGCTTGTTGCCCTTCAAGTGGTCTCCATCCCACATCAAATATCTCGGCTTTACGGTCCCCTCCTCACTGGCATTGCTCTTCCCCCCGCCCCCGGTCCCCCTCCTGCCCCCTTTCCCTTTCTTTCGCCCAGTATGTTATCTTCCTCCTTACCCTTTTCCGCTCCCTGTATACACCTTAATGTCCCACTCATGGTCCCTACCTGGGTGGGGCAGTGTGCCTAGTTTTCCTCCTTCATTAGGCCCTGTCGCGCCAAACTCGGGCTGCTGTTCACGGAATTTCTGTTCCCCCTTTTGTTCAGTGACCGGCGTTTTGTATCGGGCTCGTGTTGAGTTGTAATAATAAAAAATCAAAAAATCTGCCCGTGTCGCTTGCAGGTGCTGGGCCACAGTAAGCTCTCGCTGGTCGTGGGCGATGGGGCCGGCGTGCTTGCCGAGTCTGTGCTCATCGCGCCAGCTCACCGTGGCCAGGGCCTCGGCCGGCGGCTCATGGAGGAGACGGAACGCTACGCACGCTCGCGCGGGAAGCACCGCCTCTTCCTCAGCACCCCCGACAAGCAGCGCTTCTATGCCCACCTGGGCTACGCGCCGTGCCAGCCCGTGACAGCGGCACGGGCTGTCAACCGCCTGGTCGATGCCCGCTTCATGGAGAAGCTGGTGCACCACTCGCCCGATGGTCACCGTTGGAGCCCACGCGAGTCGCCCCCTGGATCCGGGGCGGCGGCAGTGGCAGACGAGGAGGGGGGGGTGCTCGGCGAGGAATCGCCAGCACCACTACCAGCACCAGCACCTCCACTACCAGCACCTCCTCCTCCACTAACACCACTACCACCACCCCCACCACCCCCACCAGTACCACTACCAGCAACAGCATTGCTACCAGCACCTCCTCTGCTACCAGCACCTCCACTTCCACCACTACCACCAGCACCAGTGTCACCATTACCAGCTTGTCCACCATTAGTGCCACCATCACTACCACTAGCGTTAACACCACAACCACTGCTAGCACCACCAACGGGATTACCACTACACCGGCTCACACCACCACTACCGCCTCCTCTTCCTTCATCCATCAGCTGCGCCAAATTTGGCAGAGCCACCTTTGGCTATGGCACCATCAGTCTTTCCCCGTCTCCTGCTTGCACCAGGAGTGGGCTTGCCGTGCCGTCCTGGCAGCGGATCGCTGGCCAGGCTTCGCCGCCTAGCTCCTCCGCGAGCGCGCCACTGTCATTCACTCCCGGGCAGCCCCAGACACTTGACTCAACGCCGTACCGCGACGCAAAGGGTCTGCCCGTCGTGTGGATGATGAAAAATATTTAACTGTCCCTTTTCCCTTTTAGTGTAAATCAGTCACCAAGCAGATGCCCTCATAGGCCTGTACTGCAATGTAGGCTGCGACAAAACAGACAATTGAAGCAAGTCTCAAGGTGAAGAGGTCATTACGGCCAATGTTGCTCGGGCAGTCGCATCTTGTCAGTGGCTTGACTGTTGTTAACGCAGACTGTGCAATGGCACCAGGACCTATAGACGAGAGTGGCCCAAGTGCTGGACTATGAAGAATGCAGAAATTGGACAGGGATAGGGCCCCCCGTTTCATTCCTTACGCCAGGGCCGGTGCCATCCACGCTACACGTCGCCATCACTTTGCTCCACAACCGTTGCGATAGTGGTCACAGGAAAACCACAGTGCCCTCTCTCTGAATCGCACCATTTGGCTTATGGCTTCTCCTTGGTCACCGACGTCCGGGTGTTAAGAGACAGCTGACGAGCTTCTTGGCTCGAGAAGACCGAGGGATTTGTATGAGAGGTGTTGGGGCCTTGCAGGTAATCTGCATTCTAGAAGCCTAGCCATCATCGAATCGAGCCCGATGGTGCCTGAGTAAAATTAAACCAAAGCTGCCCTGTTGGTCATGTGACTGTGTACGAGTGTGCTTTTGCATGGTGCTGCATGAGGTGGATGGCTGGCTCATTGGGCTGAGAGGCCTGTGGTTGCTGTGCTTCTTGCCTTTGGAAATCCATCCCGAGTCATTACGGATGCAGCAGGCACAGTCGAATCTGAAAAGTTGAAATCAAAGAATCGCCAAACTGCAACGATAGTAAAACTCAAACCATCACTCACATCCCCGACGAGTGCGCCATACATGCACACTCGGGCGATATCACTGCAATACATACAGCATCTACTGCCACCTTGCATTGGTTGATGGACCTTAACATTGAGCTATGACATCTATAAAAAAAAAACTTGCTTTCCCCCCCATTCCATATGAAAGAAGAATAATGCACACCTGCATACTTGACTGCATTGCTCATCCTTGAGCTGGGTTAATTGTCCAGCGGTTTTTCTCTTTGTCAGTTTTAGTTTTGTTATTGTAAAACACCCTGGGTTGAGCGGCATAATGGCACTCATAAAAGCAATGTTTTGTTTTCAATCTTGGATATGTTTAATGTAATGCAATGTTTAGTTATATATAACGTCGCCGTCGTTCTTCCAAATTACATCTCTCGCAATCGCTGAGGAACCACAGGCAGAGCTGGAAGGCAGCATCAATCAGTTTGTGAGAAAGCTGGCGTGACCAACAATTCCCAAGCTCTGGTAGAGTCCTCTATATATTAAGGCATTTTCAGACAATAAGCGTGGGAGAAAACCTGAGCACATGGAAAAACTCGTCGCCTGCGAGGGAGAAACACTATCCCATACAGAAGGTACAGATTATATCAGTCCGAACTTTGACCGTGTTCTGGCGAGTCGGGGTACAGCACCTCCTCGAAACCCATCGGAAGGAGGTTTTGCAACATTTGTTTAATCCACCAATCCAAGCTGACTGCCAATTTCTAGACTATATGCCACGTGCATAGCCACCACCACCCGAACAACTTTAGGGAGCCGCACTTGATTCCTGGTTACAGGTTTCAATCTCTTGTCGGTCGCAAATCCTGTTTCAGGCTGATGAGCAATTACTGCCACAACAAAGATTTTTATGTTTAATTTGCATTTATATGCATGTGAGCTTTAATTCCGTACGTCTTGAGAATGCAGGCCATAAGGGGAAAAGAGGCACCTTGTTTTGAAAGATGAGCCCTTAAACAATGCGTGCCATTTGACACGATATCTTTCATTTGCTTTGCAGTGTATGTGATGTTTCCAGTTGCATACAACTCGGCAAACATTTTCGTTTTCTGAAATCAAATGTGATATGCATAAGATTTGTTGAATTAATAAATAACATTCATTGTACATGTACGGATCTAATTGCTAATTCTGGTTATGAGAAGTGCTCTCAGACTCACTGGTGAGTGAACGGACACAATAGTGATTGGGGCTTAGTTAAACGCTTCTTCACGTGACCGTTTCATTTGTTTGAATGTCTCGAGTGGTGGAGGGTTTCATGACAATACTTGGGCCAGATCATTACCCGGCCTAACCCAAAATATACATTTTAAATAATAACATTGGATGCGAAAACGTATGCTTTGCGCATCATATATCAGAGTCTGATAACATTCTACGGAGCATGATGTGTGCATCCCTGCCTGGACATCTGTCTGGACGCGAGATATCCGAGTGACGTTTGCCGCTCATTTAAAATACCCAGCTCACTTCAACACTCAGCAGCTTCCAGAACTAGGCATGACTTCGTGAATGAGCCACGAGCCAATCACATACGGTTATAGGTCAAAAACTGCCTTGAAATGAGAAATATACATGGTGACTTTTTTGAAGCATTGTTCATTCTTCATAGCAAATACACACGGATCTTCATAGCACATAAACATAGCACATGAATGTGCGGTCACCGTGTTTTCACAATCAACTTGGCGGCTCGAGGTCTATCATGAAGTGGCATTACTCCGTTTCGGGGATCGCGCACACAGTGAGGCGCAATCGCCGTGTGGGAGCTTCTCAATCTCTCGGGGTTGTCTCCGGCAGAAGCCACAGTGGCAAGTGGACTCAGGGGCTAATGTACCGTCCGTCACGACGAGCTCCAAAGTTTATAATGCCAAATGGGGAGAGCACAAAAGCCGTCCCAGCCAATCGGTAGTCGGGAGGCTGGCAACATGAATGGAGCCATGCGTTATGACGTCAGTACGTTCGCCCGCAATACACCCAGCTGACAAATCAGGCTCTGCCTGTCTCACATATAAACCATTGTGTGTGAGCTAACGCAGAGATTCATCTTCTTGGTTCTTTCGGTAAAGTCACGTAGAATGGAAATAATAAAATAAAACATAATAAAATAATTCTCACGACGTTTCGGCCACAACGCAAGGAGCCGTCATCAGGTGGAGAACAGGTCTGTCGAGACAGTCAGAATATTATTTTATTATTTCCATTCTACGTGACTTTACCGAAAGAACCAAGATGGTTGCATGGACGTCAACGTATAAGCGAGGAGTCTTTTATTTGTATATAGCGTCATGAATGAAAACTACAGACCAAAACTCTTGTCGCACAATTGTTAAGGCCACGTGCTGTGTTCACACGGAGGCGCAGGAACCCACAAACAGGCGGGAGGGGAGGCAACCAGAAACGGCGCTCTACATCAATTGCCCAAGCTCTGTCGTCCTACATTGGGACGTTTGACAAACTCCATTCAGACGTGGATACCAATTATAGAGGACACCCGAGTTTCCCGGAGACAGCCCACGAGTGTGAAGATGTGGGGAAGGGGGACAAACTTGATGGGAATAATTCCACGTTTTCCTGACTGCTCAGGGCCTTGGCAATCCAATCAGGTGCATGCAACCAATTTTTTTATTTACATATTTTTAAGTCATTTACTTTACCTTTCCTATACTTTACACTCAAATCGTGCTTTTGTATTGTTTGTTGTTTTTATTTTCTGACCCGTCCCTCCTGGACATTCACCGGATTCCTGCAGAGTATGTTTTTTTGCATTCTAACCACAAGTATTGTGGTTAATGCAGACATGATTCCTTGTAAAAGGTTTCAGTTTGGTGATTTAACATCTTAACACCTGTTTTGTTGCCAGAAAAAAGGGGAAAACCTTTTCTCTACTATAAAAAAGTAATATTAAAAAGAAAACTTTTTTTTAAATACGCTTTAATGAAATGTAATAGTAATGGCAGAACTCCACGACTCCAGGAAGTGGCCCTGAAGCTGCCATAACGTAAGGGACCGTGGTCAATTACAGCCAACGTCAGTTGACCGAGGACAATTAGACCCAAGCCGAAACTTAAAATATACAAATGTTTACAAATATTTTTCTTATGTTTTTATGATAGAATATAGCATCGTCATCAGTATGACATAAGTATACCAAGTTTGCAGTCGATATACCACATTGGGAAGTGGGTTAAAATTGAGTTACAAGTTTTGAAGATGCAACAACGACAACGACGACAACAACAGAGTGAGTTAATAAAAAGCGTGTAGTAATAATACATGTGGCGATTCTGAAGTTGCAATTGATTTGTTTACGTCGTGACGTCGTTTTTAAAAATTCGCGATGACTCACCAGCGACGTGATGACGTCATGGCGCCCCCCCCCCACCCCCCGTGGGCAGTCACGCGCGCCAGTCACGTGATCTCGTGAGCGCAGGCACGGACACGGCAATCCGCCACAGTCGCAGCAGCCATGCTCGCCTTCTTCAACCGCGTCCTCGACTGGATCCGCTCCCTCTTCTGGAAGGAAGAGATGGAGCTCACGCTCGTGGGCCTCCAGTACTCGGGGAAGACAACGTTCGTCAATGTCATCGCGGTGAGTCGACCGAACCGGACTCGAACGTCGAGCTGGCCGCCCCAACCGGCCTCGCCCTCCCACCACCCGGACGCCGAGCGCGGTAGCCGCGCTAGGAAAGTCGTAAGGCGTGGTTTGGTGCTAGGCCGCGTGTAGTGAAGCAGCAGTCGGGGTTGGGTGACGGACTCGGCGATTGGATTCGAAATAAACAAGAGGGCACGATACGTCTCCTCCCTGTGTCTGTCTCTACACGTGAAGCAAAGTGCTCTTTACGACATTCCATCAGCCGTAGGGCCTTCTGGGGGAGCGCATCATTTCAACATGATTTGGTCAACACCGGCTGAACTCTGGACTGTTTTCAACATTCACTATCTCATCGTGAGCTTGAGTCAGGCGTGACTTGAATCAGTGCTGGGGAACTGCTAGATGTTCATAGGCAAGGTTAGATTCTTACGATAATGGACCATTCTGTGGCTCGTTTGATGTTATACGATTTGTTTTTCTGCATAAGGCAGTCCTGCTGGGACGAGACGGCATGAACAACTAACCGTGTATAGAAGAAACACAAAGAACCAAATAGGCGAAACGGCACTCGGTATGGACGAGTCATTATTAAGAGGACTCGAAACATCTGATGCCGTCTGCTCTGTTGGCAGTGGTGCACAACCACAAATAAACTCGACACACTCGGCAATAAAACTATTTCCTTAAAAGGAAACAATGTAATAGGTTTGTGGATGCAATACTGTAACTTTCTACGCCTTGTTTAATCTACAACCCTTTTTAACATCCTTTCCGACGCCACTGCTGGATGAAGGCCCCCTTCAGGCCCTTTAGGTCATTGGTTTATTTGACCATACTTCTAGATTTGACCATACTTTTAGATTTGACCATACTTCTAGATTTGACCATTCTTCTAGATTTGACAATTCTTCTAGATTTGACCATACTTCTAGATTTGACCATACTTCTAGAGGGCTCGTTCCGATCTCACTCGCCGGGCCAGAGTACTGAGCTGGCACCGATCGTTGAGATCCTTCCTTTCATCTTCTTGGTTCTTTCGGTAAAGTCACGTAGAAAGGGAAGTAATAAAATAATAAAAATAAAACATAATAAAACAATTCTCACGACGTTTCGGCCACAACGAATGAGACAATGCCAAGCTCCTAGCTTGGCATTGTCTCATTCTTCACCTGAGGACGGCTGCTTGCGTTGCCAAGCTAGGAGCTTGGCATTGTCTCATTCTTCACCTGAGGACGGCTGCTTGCGTTGTGGCCGAAACGTCGTGAGAATTGTTTTATTATGTTTTATTTTTATTATTTTATTACTTCCCTTTCTACGTGACTTTACCGAAAGAACCAAGAAGATGAATCCCTGCAGTCACGAAAGCTTTAAATCGAAATCCTTCCTTTCATTCCACCAAGTTCACCTCGCGCCGCAATATAGAAACCACAACATCACAGTTGGGTTCTGGTAGTCCGTGGAGGAATATAAATAATGGGACCGGGTTCTTAGCGTCGTGCCCAAACCACTCAGTCCTGCGAAACGATTGATATATTTTCACTCTTGTCATTTGTTTGGACGAATCGCCATCTGCTTCCATCTGTGGGGATATCGTGTTGCCCCCACGCACACGTGGGTTTTCTCTGGGTCCCCTGGTTTCCTTCCACATGTATAAACGCTCGTTAATTGACGGAACACATCTTTCAATTAAAAAACAGTGCAGGACGCTGCTGTAAAAGACTTCCACGACTCGGTGTGGCTCTCCTGGATGAATAAGTAAAATAAGTTTCCTTTAGTTTTATTAATTCAGTCACACGATTGTTGCAATATGGAGGTGTATATCTTTAAATAGCAATTTATTATTTTTTTCATGCTTGTTTATCCAGGATAGCCTGATTAATCCTCACGATTTTTTCGGGAGGGTGCTGCCAGGTTTTTGCAGATGTTGCAATGTCTAATCCGAATTTGAGTACGTAATGTGCAGACATCCTTTCAGTCGAAGGATATTTGGAAAATACCAATTAGATTGCGTGGTATTTTGGAGGAAACTACAACCCAGTGGAAAAACCATGCACAACAAGGGGAGAACATACTCATTGGTTCTTTCGGTACATTCACGTAGGTATAAAATAAATTAAATCACGACGTTTCGATCGCAACACAAGCGACCGTTATCAGGTGGATCAGATACAGCAGGAGAACTGCTGACATAGGAGACAGAGCTGACATAGGAGACAGTTTATATCGGATTTTGGTGGGCTCAACCCAGTGGTAAGTGGGAGGAGCTAGAGAAGGAATTTGTACATAAATGTGAGAGATTAATATATCAATGTGAGAAGGTCGCCAGCCACCGGGGGTGGTGGGAATCCTGAGCCTTGGCTGCCACAGAGATATTTAGCCTGGTGATGCACTTACCATTGGGTTGAGCCCACCAAAATCCGATATGAACTCTTGTTGCAGCAGCTCTGTCTCCTATGTCAGCAGTTATCCTGCTGTATCTGTTCCACCTGATGACGGTCGCTTGTGTTGCGATCGAAACGTCGTGATTTAATTTATTATATTGTCTACCTACGTGACTTTACCGAAAGAACCAAAGAGTATGGATCCCTGCAGTCACGAAAACTTCAGATCTAGATTGAGGGGGAGAACATTCAAAATCCATACAGAAAAGCACCCAAGTCGGATATGAAACTTTAGGGCCTTCTTGCTGTGGGGCACAAGTGTTACCAATGTGCTGACACCCTGCCGCATAATTCGTTTAGTTCCAATGTTGACGTGTACTGTATATGTTTTAGTCAGGATTGTAGTGCAGATTATAATAAACTGTTGGCTGTATTAAAAACATTGCGACCATAAGCTCGACAGATTATTACCCGGAGAGCCCAGAGTTGTCATCCTTCTGGGGTCAACTAATAAACAATTTTTGTTGAAGGTCAACAGTAGTCATCCTTTGGATATACTGCTTCCAACCACAGCAACGTGGTATTTCCAGCACTGGCTTGGAGCCACATAAAAACGATCGCATTCCTCGCTTTGTTTTAACAGGTGACTGGCCACTTTGACTTGAGGCAGGTAAATGGTGGTAATTCTGAAAAGGGTCTGGCGACTGCCATAGCAATGTGGATTTATATTCTTGGATCAGGGCTGGCAACAAAGATGCTTAGTTGAGCAAAGATGCATTTTCCTTAAGTATCTAATTCTTTTTCAGAATCTTTACTTATTCTGGAGAAATATGACTTCATTGCACTGATACTCTGCTCAACCTTTTCACGAATAAATTAAATATTGCTGTATGTATAGGAAAAGAGAACACAATATTTATTTCATGCTTATTCTGAACAGGAAATTATTGTCACGTGCTATTTCAACGCGTGTCAAAAAAATTGTGTATTTAGCACCACGTGCCGACCTAGGTAAGGAGCAACTAAGCTATCAGTTTAGCTCACTCTGTAGCTTAAACAATCAGTTTGCCACCTTGCATGAATGCCCAGCCTGAGCAATCAATGCATTGCCCGGTGTCATTTTCAATGTCAGGCTTTGCCGCTCTTTGCACGAGGTGTGGATTTGTATTTATTCTCACGGCCATTTCTGTGCAGTCATGCTTTAGACGAACGTGGAAAAAATATTGTTTTGGTTAATGTTCTCGAAGATGCTGCTGTACCGTGCCAAGCGAAAGGTGAGCAGTTGGGCAAATGACCGCCGTGTTAACATGCAAGCCAATGGGAAGGCGAGTCGCCAGCATCACGGGGTGGGGGGGGGGGTGAAGAGACAGAAACAGGACAGGTGGGCCGTTTGAGACCCACCCTCCATTTCGCCCCTGGGTGATGATGAGGCTTTGGTCTTATGCTTGAGAAATGGTCGGCTGAAGAGTTGTGGTGCATTCTCATCCACACTCGCATTTCGTAAACATATGCCTTCCGTAGAGTCCAAGTTGCGTATGTTATTGTTCACTCCAACATGCACTGGAAGGTGATGTGTGTTTATGGTTATTACTATTAATGAATCATTAATATTTACGTAAATCTTATCCACAGATGAGACTAATGTAAATGTGCAGAGTAAAAACGTTGGGGGAAATGGGCCATTTGTGTGACGTATAGATCAGTGCAATTGAACAGATTTTAATTTGGCTAAGTTTCAATCCCCTGTTAATGAAATAAGTGCCACTTATAGTGATGGCCAATCGCGGTTGTCACGTGGAGACTGGCCTCAATCTTATGACCATATAATTTCCACCATTGGCTCTTAGCTGCCAACAGAGAGGAATTCCATCAATGCGATGTTTGAGCCTGGAGACGTTTGTTATGTTTTCGCGTACATTATGTACTATACTTGGGTCCTGGATGAGCTCATCAAATTTGGATTTATAGTTTCGGTGGGCACTATTCATGGTGTACGGGAAGGTACGTGATAACAGTCGGCAATGCCGGGCCATTGGAATGTCATCGAGTTCCCTGAGTTGAAACCTTTGTAAACACGGCTGCTGAATTTAACGAGTAGTGATACTACCGAGGGTGCAGCTCTGACCTCTGGTTTGGTGCTGTAGACTAATTTGGCTATCTGGGTTGTTCAGTAAATTGTACTGAACCGTAAATTGTGTGCAAGGCAACCATGTCACCCATGCTGTTATGGGTGTGATTATTGATGGAAGGCTCACCCACCAAAAGAGTTTAAAGGCTCCAGAGCAATCATGTGGTTTTACTTTTTGTGGGTGTCGCTCACAGACACGAATGGGTATTCAGTGTCAGGCTGCAGTCAGTAAACGATGCTGAGAGCTCGAACTGGATGTTACCTGAAATGTCCAAATCCTATAGCCTTCTATTTTATGAGAGCACAGCAAAGACCTATATACAGTTTTAACAATACAGTAGGCTGTAATTATATAAATTGTCAGCAAAGAATAAAAATATTCACATGATAGTACTCTGTAAAATAAATCTTTCATTTCCTCATGTTCTTTAGACATCAAACTGCACTAGGTTTTCAACATATCCTGTTTGTAGCAAGCATGCACTCAA